ATTTCTGAAGAAGGGTCCGACCTGAAACGTCAGCTTTCCTGCTCCTCTGATGCTGCCTGGCCTGCTGTGTTTCCTCCAGCTCCACACTGTGTTATCTCTGACTCCAGTATCGGCGGTTTTTACTATCTCTAAGTGAAATGGGAGTGCTTACTTCCACCATGATACGTTAATTCAATGTCACTACAATTATGCAGCTCTTCCTTAAGGCTTTTCCACGATTGGTTGATACTTGTAACTACAAAGCTGAAAATTAAAATATTTTTGTAAAGAGCATCCATCTCTCAGGTGAAGTTTGAGGCCAAAATACATTCAACAAACTGCTCTGAAAAATCTTGACATTCTGACAGCTGTGACAAAAAAATCAGGATCTGGGTTTGTTTCATCCTTGAGCAATGCCCTATCTGCAGATCAAGTTTCATTGAAAACTTGCCAATTTTTCTGGATATAATAAAAACAGAAATTGCCAGAAAGACTCAGAAGGCCTGGCAGCATCTGTGGATAGAGGGCTGACTGAACATTTCTGGTCCAGTGACCCTTTTTCAGAACTAGAATAATTCTGGAGCACTTCAGAAAAGTTCTGAAGAAAGATCATTAGACCCAAAATGTTAACTCTGCTTTATCTCCACAGATGCTGCCAAACCTGCTGAATTTTTCCAGCAATTTCTGTTTTTGTTTCTGATTTCCAGCATCTGCAGTTCTTTGTTTTTTGTTTTGTTTTGGATGTATATTGTTTGCAAATAAACAACTGTACAAACTGGAGAAAACACTGCAACTTTTGCCATTGAAGGTAAGTGGAGGTAACTATTTATATTACCTTTTGTCTTTTTAATAATTAACTTGTGCTTTAATAGATTTACTTTTGACCAAAATGAGAGAATCGATAGAACAGAGTTTTGGGTTTATTTATTTCCTAAACTGAAAACAACAGTGCTAAAAATGGTATTTAAAAATAATTGCTTTCACAATCAGGATACACACAATCTACTGGCTAAAAACCAAATTTTGGTCACAAAGTTCATGGAAATGATGAAATGGAGGGACCAGTAACATAAAGTGATAGTGCCTTAGATATCCACTTTCCATATTGCTGAACATGGAAGCTTAAGGCTATCAATTTTCCTAATGAGGTCAATGTAACACAACTCATTCATCTCAATTAGTGCATGGCTCATTAGGGTGATTTCAGATGTCAAAATGACAAAGCTTTTCTGATACTATTGAAGTACTGTACCTACACTACACCCATACCGTGTCCATTTTGAATTGGTGTTTGGTGGAATAACCTAGTAACCAATTAAAATAGTTCTTCTGGATTTCCTTTGGCATCTGCCACCTCTCTGTCCACCAATCCCTTCCCCCAACCTCCCCATTTTATTCAACCTTAGCCCAATTTTCGTTTACCACATTTCACTGTTTTTTTGTTTTCTCTCCCTCTGCCTCACTACCACTATCTCAGATAAACAACTGATCAGATTATTATTTGCAGGATGAATCAAATTCGTCTAATTAAAAAAGGTGAAGTAATCAAGCTTTCTATTTTATTGTTCTTCTACAACATATAAAAGATCTCACTTGTTTGACATTAAACATTGATAAATATCTTTATCTTTACATTGATTGTATCTGAATTATAAAATGCCAACTTAATTTCCTGAAACATATTTATTGATTTATAGTCAGTTTTAGAATTTTGTACGTTAAGCGTAAAATTGGACAAACATCTGTCTTAAAAGCTTAACATAGTTAGTATGTTAACTCACGTAGTTAAACAAGCACCATCTTTACAGCAATATTTATATTTTGTAAGGAAGATGGAAATTTTACTCTTTTGTGGAATGAGGTGCTGGAATATGCCTCAAAGAGGATCTGTCATTTGGCATCATCTCCACCAGATTTCCACCAGTAAATTCATCCAGCCTGCCATTTGGGGACATATCTGGAGGCAATCCTGGGAATCACAGCAGATAAGCCACTAAACAAGTCCAGAAATGCTTATGTCTGTAGATAGAAACTATTATTATCATTTTGAACTGTATTTGCGTTCCCACCAGCCTTAAAGCTCCAACTTTGCTCACTGCAAACTATCCAGGTAAATTGGAAAAATAGAAAATTGTGATGATTGCTTCAGCTTTGAAGCCTAGTTATGCAATTTATGAAGATTTTGATCTTTATTGAGAAAGCTCTAGCTTCTATTAGCAATGGGTGGAGGTTTCGTTGCACTACAAGTTTAACAGCTGACAGTGCTTTTACTATTGTATCTAGTATTTTAAAGACAATGACTAAATTTTGCCAGGCTGGAAAAATGGTACAGGAAGGCATTGGAAGGTGCTATTTTTCCAGCACAGTAAAGGTGGCAGTTCCAATGCCTGCTTGGAGGCCAGTTATGCCACATAAGCTCTTCCTGCCTGCACAGATATGCCTATGTTTGGAGGACTCATTGCTTTGTGGTGAGACTCCCAGGATTCTCAGCTAATATGGGCAGGGAGTAGAAATACATTGGAATTTTTGGACATTCTTTGGCCAATGGAGCAGTTCTTCGATGGCTGACACTCATGGTCCTGCCTGTGCTTGTTAACCACTTCACCGACCTCAATAAGAATCTGCATACCTGGCCCTGCTATCTCCTCTCCCACTTATACTGACTTCAAGGGCACACTACCATCAATGTACCCTCATTCTCGAGATGCTGCCTCAGTACTGGCCACCACTCGCAATAGTGCACTGAGCTGCCAGTCTCTGGCCAGTAGCTCTTGGTGGTCCCTTAGTGGTTGCTACCAGCAAAATGTGGTCCAGGTCCACCGTGTGTCAAAGCAGCTTTATCAGAAGCTATTAGAGCCAATAGCAGGACTTGTGTTGCGTCTGCAATATTCTGACCACTACCGGAAATTAAACGTGACAATGCTGGAGCACTAGGTCTCAGTTATGTGAACCAGGATCATTTGAGTAACATTATCAGTTCACAAGTGAAGTACATGATGATGTTAACCCATCTGACGCCAGCCAGTTGGGAAAAGGACATCTATCATATGTTGATCATCATTCAAACGTATGTGAGTGACATTAACCACCAGTGGAGACTTGGTCATGCTACTGACCTAACAAAAAATATTTGCACTAATGCCCAAATAGATTTTAGGTAGTGTGCTCAGAAATTTTGTCCTGGTGATTCAAAAAGGAGGTTTTGCATTTTGCTTTTTCTGGAGTGCCCCCTCAGTCAAGTGTACAATAAGTACCTCATAGTGTAATAAGCACTTGCTGCTACAATACAGATTAGGTGATCCTGCCCTGGCACAAGATATTAAAACATGATCTTAAAATAAGGTAATCAGAGTTTGCAACATTGCACATCTGCATTCAGAGTAAGTGTATTTATTCTTACTATCTCTAAGTGTATTCATTATATTGATGCTCATTAAGGTAGGCTAGACATGACCACCTTTATACACATGGGAAAAAAGTGAGTTGATTAGGAAGAGTGAGCACGGATTTCTAAAGGGGAAATTGTGTTTAACTTGCTGGAGTTTACTGAAAAAGCAACAGAAGGATTAGATGAAAGTAACGTTATTGAGGCGATGTGCATGGACTTCAGGAAGGCATTTGACACAGTGCCACACAGCAGTCTTGTCAGCAAAGTTATAGGTCATGTTATAAAAGAGACAGTAGCAATGTGGAGACAAAGAAACATTGGTTGAATGACAGGAAACAGAGTAATGGACATTGGGTATATTTTTGGCTGACGGAAGTTGACTGAAGGAGGGTTTGTAGTGAAATGTCTAAGGATTCAGTAGTAGGAGCCTTGCTTTTTTTAATGATCTGGAAGCTGGTGTGCAGGGGACAATTTCAAAGTTTGCAGTAAACTTGGAAGAATTGTCAACTGTGAGAAAGACAGTGTGAAACTCCAAAAGAACATTGGCAAGCTGGTGGAGGGGGCAGTGGATAGGGGACGGATGACGTTCAATGCAGAGAATTGTGAGGTGATGTACTTATGTCAAAAGAACATTGAAAGACAATATTAAACGGGAGGCACAATTCTGAAGGGGGTGCAGGAACAGAGGGACCCATATGCACAGATCATTGAAGGTAGCAGAAGAAGTGGAAAGAAAAATTAATAGAGTAAACAGTGCCCTCAGCTTTATTAATTAGGGCATGTAGTGGAAGACCACGGACAAATGTTGATCTTGAATAAGCACTTGTTAGATATTGTGCACAATTATGTATGCCACATTATAGGAAAGATGTGAATGTGTTGGAGACAGTGCAGAAGTGATTTATAAAAATGTTTCCTGGATTAAGAAACTTCAGATAGTGGATAGATTGAAGACATTGGTTCTGTTCCCCTGAAGAGAAGAAGGCTGAGAGAGGTTTTCGGATTGGATAGGGTGGATAGGTAGAAGCTGTTCCTGCTCATAAAGTAATAAAGAATGAGAGGGCTTTGATTTAAAGTGATTTGTAAACAAAGCAAGGGATTTGAGAAAAAAAACTTCTTCACACAGGCAGTAGTTAAGGTATGGAATGCCTGGGAATGTAACGGAGGCAGGTTCAATTGAGGAAGTCAAGAGGCCATTGGATGATTATGTGGATTAAAATGGTTTGTAGGAATATGGGGAAAAGGGAGGGGATTGGCACTAGGTGACAAAAGCAGTTCAGGTGTGATGAGCTGAATGACCTCTTGCTGTGCTGTGACAATTCTACAATTCCGAAGGAATAAATGTGTATCCCAGACAGAGTGGGTCTGGGAAGAGCAATCCAGTTTAGCTAGGTAGCCAGAGCCTCTGAAGAAAAACAATTTTTAAAATGTATGTTTTGACAGATCACCTTACATGATGGATTGGTTTGGGGCTTGCAGAGAGTTGGATATATGTCTCCTGTGTCTACTGGTGAGCAGGGACTAGATTATCCCGTTAGGTCAGCCTGGAGTGCTCTGATGGGTTCAATCTTGCTGTAAGTATCAGTTTTGCAATCCATTTTGTTTGAGCCAATGTGCAGACATAGATCATTATACATGATCACCATGAACAGAAACATAAAAACAGTTTAAGGTGTGATCCTTATTTCATCAACTCACCCACAGGAGCTCGACAAACTAATGATGAAGAATCTGCATAGAATGATCCTGCCTGTTTCCTTCCATTATCATCCAGAATGTTGAGCGGATCATGGATGTCATTGTAACCAGCTACCGATCGAATGCTGCTAACACTACTAATAACAGATACATGTTGGTCAATCATGGGCCCCAGTCTGTGGGATTCCGGGTAGCTATTGTGACTATAGTAACCTGTAATTGAAAAAAAGAAATGACTCAATGAATAAATATTGACCCAATGGGCTTGATTTTCAACTCTGGGTTTTAAATCAAACGCCCAGATAATTTCCAGGTCCCAACTGTGCACCTTGTCTATGTTGCTAATAAGAATATATGAAACAGAAGTAGGAATAGGCCACTTGTCCACTCGAGTCTCTTCTGATATTCAATAAGATCATGACTGATTTAATTTTGGCCTTAACTCCACTTTCCTACCTGCCCAAAGGCACTCAGCTTTCTTGTAGTTCAAAAACCTGTCTAAGTTACTTTTGATCCAGCCTCTACTGCTTTCTAAGGGAAAAGATTCCAAAGATTAACAACTCTCAGAGAAGGAAGTTTTCATCTCCATTTTAAGAGGAAGGTCCTTTATTTTGAACCTGTCCTGCCATATAATATGTACCTTGCTGAGCTGTGCAGGGAAGTGGGAGATGCCCAAGTGGGAGAAGAGGAGTCAGAGGAAGACAGCAGCCATTATGGGATCTGACCCTGCTTGGACAAAACAGTAGGCAGGAATTTGGAGGGGCAGGGACCTCCTTGATTACAGAATTGGCCAAACAATACTGCTTCCAATCTGTGACAGTGAAACTCTCGGTAGCAAAAAATGTCTCTGCTTTTCAATAAAGTTGTAAATGTCCCCTTTAAACAGATAGTTGTGCATCAACTGGCATTACATTCACAAAGTTGCTGGAAAAGCTCAGCAGGTCTGGCAGCATCTGTGAAGGGAAAAACAGAGTTAATGTTTTGGGTCCAGTGACCCTTCCTCAGAATTGAACTCATCAGTTCTGAGGAAGGGTCACCGGACCCGAAACGTTAACTCTGTTTTTTTCCTTGACAGATGCTGCCAGACCTGCTGAGCTTTTCCAGTAACTTTGTTTTTGTTCCTGATTTACAGCATCTGCAGTTCTTTCGGTTTTAACTAGCATTACATTGTTTGGTTTTAAACATGTTCAGATAGATGTTGGGGGGGTGGGGGATGCAAGATGATACAGAAATGTGAACATGAGGATAAGAAGTTTAAATGTGAAGTCAGCAAAACAAGGATGATAGGTTGACCAGGACTTGTTGCATAACAGGATATGGACCAGCTATTGTCTTGCACCTCCCCCCCCAACTATTCACAGTAACTACAGCAGAAGATTTGCATGCTCACTTTCTTTGCTTTAATACAGTACATAACTGAATCTTTGGAAGATGAAGAATAACTAAGTCAAATAACAAATTGACTAACTATCCCTGCCCTATTGACAAGTTCCTCAAGGAGATCAATAAACTGCTCATGGAATAAAGCAGATTTCTGGATCCTCTGTTCCCTTCGAAAATTGTGTTGTTTTGGAAACATTGGGATCCAATGATATCTTCCATGAACAGATTTTCGATGCATGCCTAGACTCCTGTTTGTCCTTATCTTTTGAAAATTCAGACCAAGAGCCCACAATAATTTGGCTGCAGCTAGGGCACTAGTTGAATGAGGTGGAAATCTAAGCTATATTCAGTGATGCTAAATCTCAGTCATCTTTCCAGTATCAACATTTCTGCCTTTCTTTCACCTGTCTCTCTTCAGTATGAGCATTATTGAAAAATGAGAGACTGTTAGCACAATGTCATTGACCAAGTTTGTCACAAGTCCTGGTTAAGTTGCTCTGATACAACTCGAACATGTTTTGCATCCTCTTAATACCAGCCTCAGGTGAATGTCAGTGTGGAGTTTCCACATTCTCTCCGCGTTTACGTGGGTTTCCTCTGGGTGCTCTGGTTTCCTCCCACAATTCAAAGATGTGCAGGTTAGGTGGATTGGCCATGCTCAATTTCCCACAGTGTCCAGGGATGTGCAGGTTAGGCGGACTAGCCATGGGAAATGGAGGGGTACAGGGGTAGAGGGGGGGGGTGGGGGGGGGGGGGGGGGGGGTGGTGGGGTGTGGATCTGAGTGAGATGCTCTTTGGAGGGTCAGTGTGGACTCAATGGGCTAAATGACCTGCTTCCACACTGTAGGGATTCTATAATTCCATGAATAAAATGTCAGGCCAACAATTATTCAGTAGGCAAGATGAGCAACCAATTTCTGGCACAAGTTAAGGAACTGTGTTAGAACCTTCTGCTGTCAGACATAGCTCCTAGGGCTATGAAGAAGTTCTACAGCCAGAATTGTCCTTCCATATCAATGAGTGCTGTAAAAGATGCTGCCTCTGATCCAGCATTAAGTAATAGCTCAGAGAATGAGATTGTACAATTTCCATTTGAGATTCTAGGTCTGGATAATTATCTCAGTCCCTGACTGAGAGATGACATAATTTTGATGACAGTTTGTCCTACTTACGCAGGGACGGAGGAGGATCTGCCCAGGCTGCGAGAAACACCCTTCTCCCCATCTCTTCCAATCACTAAGGGACAATAACTAGAATCAGAGCCTACAGCTGACTCAGCGGATGGTCATCTTGGATGTTCCCATTAGTGGCATGGGTGCCCAAATAGAGTTACAAGGATATGGAGGGGTGGAGGTTGGGTCTGGGTGAGATGCTCTTTGGAGGGTCAGTGTGGATTCAATGGGCCAAATGACCTGCTTCCACACTGTAGAGATTCTTTTAAATCAGGTTGGCTTTTAAAATAAAATACAGGTCAATTAATGGATTGATCTGAATTCGCTGTTTCCTCTGGACTTGGACCAGAATCAGCAGACTGGCTAGTAGTAATATGTTGCAAGTGTTGAGCTAAAACTCCTTCCCTGATGGCAATGTGGATGTACCTACATCAAATAGATTGCAGCAATGCAAAAGGCAGCTCAGCACCATCGTTTCAAGGGCAACTAAGGATGAACAATAAATGCTGGCCTAGCCAGTGTCACATACATGTCAAGAGTGAAAGAAAAGGCAGAGTCAGAATAAAAATGAGGGAAATTGGTCATCACACAGCAAAAATTGCATTGTGCAGATGTATGGCAATATGTCTTGGATGCGACAAGCCTGATTTAATTAGTGACCTAGTTGTTCGTGAGCATTTGTCAAATAGTGATCCTAATATGACTGAGTTTCATGTAGCATTTGTAAGAGATAAACAAGATAAGCAAAGATCGGATACAAGAATTTTGGACTCTAGTAAATTGGGAAGATCTGCTAATAGATAAAACGACCAAGTGGAGGGTTTTCAAAGAAACATTTAATGCTCTTCAAAAGCAATTTGTACCCATGAGAAGGAAATGCTCCATCTCAAAACAAAAATAGCCACAGACATCTAAGGTAGTAAAGGACAGCATAAAAGGAAGGGCTTATAGAAGTGCAAAGAACAGTACAGATCCCACAGAATGGGACAAATACAAAGACTAACGAAGAGCCACAAAGTGGCTTACAAGATCTACTAAAAAGGATTATGAAAGGAAACTGTGAAGAGACATAAAAGACAGTAAGAAGAGATTTTATAGTTATATAAAGGGAAAGCAGCTGCTTAAAAGTACCATTGGCCCACTGACAGCTGAGAGTGGAAATGTTGTCAATGACCATGGGGAAATGACAGATATGCGGAATGATTGTTTTGCTTCAGTATTCACAACAGAAAAGGAGGATAGCTTGCCAGAAGTCCTAAAGACATTAACAGCGATTCAGAGACAGTGTCTAATTGAAATTAGCTGAAGTAAAACATCACTAACGGGAAAGTTAATGGAACTGAAGAGTGACGTATCCCCAGCACCTGATGGTTAAAGGAGGTAGGACAGCACATTTCCGAAGCCCTAAGTCTAATCTTTCATGGTTCCCTGGATTCCGGAGTTGTACCTCTGGGCTGGAAATTTGCTTATGTCGCTCTGCTCTTTAAGAAGACTGACAGAGGGAAACCAAGGAATTGCCAACCAGCTAACCTAACATCTGTGGTGGGAAAATTGTTGGTGTCTATTACCAAGGATAGGGTAACTGATCACCTCAAAAAGTTTCAGTTAATAAGGGAGATTCAGCATGGATTCATGAAAGGTCGCTCATGCCTTACAAACTTCAGTTTTTTGAAGAGGCGACAAAGGTGTAGGACAGAGGTAAGTCGATGAAAGTTGTTTATATGGACTTCCAAAACTCTTTGATAGAGTCCCACACAAAAGATTGCTAGCTAAGGTGGAAGCCCACAGAATTGCGGGCAAATTATGATATGGATAGATGGATTTTAAATTAAGTGTGAGGTTATCCATTTCAGACTGAAAAAGTGTAGATCACATTTTTTAGAAGGCACAAAGTTAAAAAAAAAGATGCTCAACAAGATTTAGAGTTCAAGTGCATAGCTATTTAACATTCCATGATCAGGTGCAGAAAATAGTCAAGAAGGCAAATGGAATACCAGCCTTCAAAGATAAAGGGCTAGAGTCTATGGATGCAGATGTTATGCTGTCATTATACAAAATCCTACTTAGACTCACTTAGATAACTGTAAGCAGGTCTGGGCACCATGCCATAGGAAGGATGTTTGGGCCCTGAAGTGACTTCAAAGCAGATAGAAAGGGATGATACCTGGACTTCAGGGGTTAAGTTATGAGGACAGATGAGACAAATTAGGCCTTTATTCTCTAGAATTTACAATGTCAAGGAATAATCAAATGAAGGTATTAACAGTAGAAAGACAGGGTAGACAAAGATAAACAATTTCCACTGGTTGAAGATTCTAAAACCAGGGGCATAGTCTAAGAATTAGGGCCAGGCCATTCAGGAGAGATGTTAGAAAGCACTTCTACATGCAAAGAGTTGTGGAGGTTTGGAACTCTCCACCTCGAATGGTGGTCGATGCTAATTCAATTGTTAAATTTAAATCTAAGACAGGCGGTTTTTATTAAGCAAAGGTATCATGGGATATGGGCCCAACACAGGCATATGGAGTTAGGCCACAGATCAACCATGATTGAATGGCTGTGCAGGCTCAAGGGCTGAATGGCTTACTTCAGTTCCAATATTATTATTTAAATAAGTACTTTCTCTGTCATTGAAGCATTTACAAAATTTGGGGCTGTAACAAATTTAAAACTAGTCGAGAAAATGTTACAAATTACTCCCCATGTTCCCACCCACTCTCCACAGCATCTCAAAACATGACCAATATCCTGAATATAAATCTAAACTTTTAGTTTTTGGTGCCTTAATTCTTTGTATAAAGATTAAAACTGGTGAATCCCCAACAATTTGTGCTCCACAGTCATTGATTTTTCAGTTTGAATATTTGAGCTCAAATCTATTTTTACATGTATTCCCAACCACAGGTTTCCATTGAAGAAAAAAGAAACTGTATGGACAGATATTTTTGATTTTATCTGTTGATAGTTACCATTGGAGCCAGTGGAAGGAAATGATGCTCCTTGACATGCAACTGAATTCCCCAAAAAGTTAAAGGTGCCTCCATTTAGCAACTGCATGTTGTGTGCTTCCTGCGGATTTGAAGATGACCCAAAATTAGATGGAGCTCTGGTGTTATAGGGTGACACAGCACAGCTACTGTTGAAGTAGTCCCTTGAAACTGCTTGTTCATTGAAAGAGGTGAAACGACTAGGATCCACTCTATGGTGGTACACTGCAGGAGAAGCATGTGTCTGATTCCTGAACATGGCTTGATAATTGGAGCTAGTGCCATAGAAGGCTTGATCAGGCTGGGGCAAAGTCTGGTAGAGGGACTCTGGGTACGGGTGACAGTGCGTGTGGGCAGATAATGTACAGCTGCCATTCTGAGACCTAACAGCCATTGGTCCTTGGTTGATTACACTTCCTCTGTTGCCCAAAGTTGGAGATAGAGGTGGAGTGATCACATGACTGTTACTGTGAGAAAGCTCCATAGGATCTGCAAATGAAAGAACAAAAATAGCATTTATACCAAATGTATGTTTTGTGATCTAGCACAGCAGGCTGTGTATGCATGATTAAAACATTTGACCTTTGCATTTTTCTTTGTTTGACACAACTGGTGGAACCTCGGTAATACCTGTAGCTGATAGATTTCCATACTTATTATTTTCCTTTGTCATTAGCCAAGCACAAAAACATCAGTGGGGTACTAACAGTTTATGAAATGTACATATCTTCAGTAAACATATTATCCTCCCAAGTAGGGTTCAACAATCCTAGAATCATTTTTTAAAAAATGAATACTACAAAATTGAATATTTGGAATGGATTAATTAAAATAGCCAATGGCTATTTTCTCAACAGGAATTATTCTGTTTTTGTTCCATAAATCTAAAGTATGAATTTACTGGCTGAATGAAAATGTATTCTTTTAGTCAGTTATTTAAATAATTTTTTGTGGCAAATTCTGCTATAAAACATTTCAAAAGTCTGAAAAATCTGAATGAATTTTGGAAAGAATTTTGTTATAGTCATAAAGTATATAAAATACATTCTCACTGTGAGGTTGATTGAACAACCATATCCTTCAGAACGAATTGGGTGCAGATATTTTTTTCAGGTTAAATGTATTAGCATTGATGAAACATCAATTCCTTAATACCTGAGCAGAAAATGTAAAAGTACGGTATGCGTATTCCTGCACTTTACCTGAGTCTAGTGTCATTTGCTCTAATACACAGTCTGTTTTTTTTTGCCCTTGTGATTCGTCATACTTACATTATTTAGAACCTTTTTGTCTTCTCCAGACCTACTCTATCCTTTAGGCACAATGAAACATGCTATTGATTGGAATATGCATTAGCTTGCCACTCTAAATGAAATTAGAGAAAATCTTATCACTCAAAAATGTTAAGAATTTCTATTTCTTTCATTTGACATTGAGTTGCACCTTTGAAAAGGCTATTTTTTTCTATTCTTTTCAGAACTTATTAATTAACAGAATGATAAGTAGATCAATGTTAGAAATACAGATTTACATGGATGAATTAATGTAAAGGAAAAAGAAAGCATGTAGTTTCAATATCTTACAGAACATTTCATCCAGGATGGGATTTGAAGTGTTTTTAACTGAATAAAATAAAAGCAAAATACTGCGGATGCTGGATCTACACTGAAAAAAAAACAAAATGAGAGAGAAACTCAGGAGCTTTGGCATAATCTGTGGAGACAGAAACACAATATTTTGATAAAACATGATGCATGTTGGACTCAAAATGTTAATTATTTCTCTCTCCACAGGTACCGCCAGACATGCTGAATTTCTCCAGCACTTTCTGTTTTTGTTTTAAATGGTGGTTCCACTGCACTCTTAAACAGAAGAAATGTCTTGTGATCAAGAAGTTATTTTTGCAAGTGCTAAGCCAAAACCTAATTCACAGGTATCAAATAGCTACAGTGTCAGTTACCTGAAGCAGAGCTTCATGTTGTCACAAGAACTGATAACTGGTGATGGCTGTGAAAATAATTGTTTTTGATCCTGAGAAAAAATTTGTAAGTGAGAATAAGAAATTCATTCTAAGGTTATAAATATAATTCTGAGTATAGTTTGTATCATGCCTGTCAAATAAATCTCCCACTGTTATGTGTACAGTCTGGCAATTCTACTTCATAATGTGATAAAATTATGATTGAAGTACATTTTTAATCAATGTCTAACAGTGTTACTATATTTCATACATTTATTATTGTTAACTCCATAAAGAATTGATATAAGCCTTGCTTTTTTTGAGATCCAACTAACAGCATGGTGGCTTGAGGCTTAAGTATATTCCTGTGACCAACTGGTGGGGCACTTGCTTTTCCAATCAGGGATTTGGGATCACCGATGACGTGTTGCAGTACTCCTCATCCACATGTCTGCTCTATTCCCCATTTCCTTATTCCCTTTTCCAACAGCTAATTATCTGCATACTCAATGGTTTATGTTCTCTGCTTCAATCATTCACTCTGGAACTACATCTCTGATGTAAAATAAATCTATTACACTTGCTGTTATGTCAATGACACTTTATCCAGACCACTTAAACTCTTTAGTTAATTAATCTATCAAATGCTTCCCTTTTATATTTCTCCACCCATTAGTCAGTCAAAACATTCCTTTGTTGTGATGCACAGCCTTCCTACCTTTTCCTAAAGGAAGAATATTCACTACCCAGTTGGATATGCTAACCTGCCAGCCAAACAAACAGTCTTATTTTACCATTTTTTCATATTTTTACATTGGGTAAGGAGAAACATTCAAAGATAATGTCAAAAAAAATGCATGGCTGCATTTTGCTGAAAACTGACTAAGTGTCATTTTCACAGTTTCCTGTTAACTTCCATGGGCTCCAGCAAGTTATCTGACATTATTCTCCACTGCCCACCTCGGTACGTATGCACCATGCCCCTACAGTACCGCTCTCACTTTACCGTGTGCTCATTAATGGTGGAATTACACACTGCTGCCGGGAATGTCTGGGATTCATGCCACGCCACTAAATTCAAGACAGAGTAGGCCTTCACACAGCACACAGTGGCTTTCTTTCTGTGTGAGAGCTCATAAGTGGCATGATTGATGCCTCATTGGAAGTAGAAACTCACAACTGTAAATGTTTTGCCTATTTATCACCTGTCTGATCAACTCTCATGGTAACTGTACTATAAGAATTAAGCTGCAGAGGCAACCTGTCCTTATCATGATACCATGTTAGAAGTCTGTCTAAAAGGAGTGCTCCTCTTTCGCTAACACTCATTGGAGCATAACAGCCTATTATGGTTCAATGTGGGATCGTCACATGTTGGAAAGCTTTCAATGTTAACGTTAAATTCTTATTGGACAGCAGGCAAAGTGATGAAACAAATTAAAATAAAGCATATCTCCAGTTACTTCTGAGAATAAACAGGGGCTGTTTGTCTATCAAGCAACACATTTACAAAAAATGAATGATAATGTCACCTGACTTACATCTTTTGGAATTGGGTGTCAATAAATTCTACCAAAGTGTGTACACGCACACATGCACACATACACTCCCTCAGTTAACAGGTTGCATGACAGAGTCATCAGCCTTGCTTACAGAGGGTAGTTCTTCCTTGTAAGGCATTCAGCCCTTAAAATGAAGCAGGACTGTGAGAGTTCTTAAGGATGTAGGCACATCCCAGGGCACAGACTGCTAAGATGTAGTACCAATGATCATAGATGACTTGCACATTGACTGAATGGAACCCAATTCACTTGAAGTCTGCTGTATTATGATACGGCATTCTCATTGCAACCTGGGTACAGTCTTCAGAGCCCTGCACCAAGGGGAAGCCAGCTAAGTCTACCAAAAGTCTACTGCCTTGGCTACAGCGCTCACCTCATCATGGGAAAATGGAATGAGGCGTTGAGATCTTGCACAAATGGCTTTGATAACAGCCTTGATACATCAATGGGTTGAAGATTGAGAGATCCCTCAAAGGTAAATAGTGGATCCTTGGAAGAAGCCAAATTAACAGCCATTAGAATAGGATGGCTACGCATCACTGCCTTCTCTTCGATACCAGTTCACAAGTACTGCTCCAGTAAATGACACCATACTTTGAAAGTGTCCCAGGCCATCTTCAGTCGACAGTGGCACTTGTCTGGAGAAAGTGGCACTGAGGACAACAGCCTATGGGCCTCCTGTACCTCCTTGTCATCCTGAGGGGGCCTTCAGCTGTGACATCTTCAATTTTCAGACTGTGCAGCAGTCACAGGAAGTTGCTTCTGGTCCGGGGCTTTACTGGTGCATTTGTTCCACCTTGATTTCTCTGCACCTTCAATACGCCATAGTGGTATTGACAAGCCCTGCAATGGCTGGATCCGTTGAGGCATATCAGAAACAGAACAGGTCCTTAGTGATGCAAGCAGTCAGTATTCACATCACACACAAAGGACAGTTTAGCAAAGTTCTTGATACAGTGGGACACAGAGGATCTGACAAAGAGGGCCAGGGAATGGTTGTGCATGGACCTTTGACAAGATAGACCTCATTTTGGTGTATGCAGCTCAAGCCAAATAAATGATTGTAAGTGTAGTAAAATTAGAATTAGAATTAGGTTTATTGTCACATGAAGTACAGGGGTACATGAGTACAATGAAAAGTGTACAGAGTTGCCATTTCCGGCACCATCTTCAGTACAAAGATATCTAGGTACAAAATCTGAGGCATAAATTAGAAAAGTAAAGAAATAAAGGTAAAAGTTCAGCATTACAGTCTTTCTAAAGCAGGGAGTCCATGTTGAGCTTCACCTCAAGGTCTGGAGTCCATGCCGGCCTTCCACAAGGCCAGGAGTCCATTCAGTCCATCCCCACTGGGCTTCCTCAAGACTGGGAATCCCTGGCACCGCTGACATCACCATCTCACCGTCGCCTGGAGTCCCCGGTCCGGGTATACCACAACCAGGAGTCCCTGGCTCCACTGCCAGGCTAGGCCGTTGCCTTGCAAAAAGTCCACTCCAGCTGCCCTCCTCCGTGATGTCACATTCTCTGTCTTCTTCATGTTGGCAGAAGCGAAGGAAAAGGAAAAGAAAGAAGACAAAAAGGGTAAGGAAAGAAGGCGGGAAGCAGCCGGCCTGCAGCGGATGGGCCCAAGACCCTGAATGCTGCCTACTTTGCTGGCTTCACCATCTTGGAATCTACTGAAAATACCTACCCCACCACACTCCCCATTCCTCTCAACCCAATTCCACGCATCACCAAGGAAACAGAGCACTGAGTATAGGAGATTGCTGTCACATACTTCCTGTTCAAAGTGATGGGGAATCAGCTCCATTCCCTTGTGAAGCCCAGGAGACCTGAAATTGTCTTTGTGAATTGTAGTTTGCAGGTGCCATTTTTAAGCTTGTAGTGACCAATGACATGGTCAAAAATGCTGTGGCCATGGTTGTATTCCATGTTGTCAGTCACTACATGCATTTCACATGCAGAGTTCTATGATTATAGGTATCTTAAACCTGTCTGTGTAGGTACTGGGTTAATGTAATTGTGCTTCAAAGGATCTCATACCACTCATAAGTATGGCCTGTGTTCTCAGGGAGAAAGCAAAGGTGCTCTAACCATTCAGAGTGTGGTGGCTACTATTTTTCATTTCAGTACCTAGTAAGGCAAGGCAGGGATGCAGTGAGTATCCTGAAAGAGCGCAGTGAGTGCGTGGCAGGAGAGCAAGCCAAGAACTCTGGGATACACCCTGTTCTGATGACCAAGATGAGCTCCTGGCCTAGTGCAGAAAGTGGTCTGGCAACAGCATTACAATGAAAGATATCGGTGTGCTCCAAAGGGCAGTATTGAAGTGATAACTGTATTAAAAGTGAGTCGGAGGTGTGCCAGGAGAATGTGATGAGGTTGATGTGTGTCTGATATCAACCTCCAAGGATGAAGGATTAAGACCTTCCCTGCCCATGGAGTATAGCCTGAGACGTTCAGGATTACTGGCAAAGATGGTGGGCTGGAGGAACAAATAACCAGCTGGAGCTGCCAAGTACCGACTTAATTTTCATGTTGGAACTTGTCACTTTCTACTTTCACTCCAGTGCTGATAAAACAGCAAACTACATATAAAGGAGACGAGATCAAGCAATAAAGAAAGTTAATACATATCTCTTGCCACTCACCAGGAAGGTTTGTCTCGCTGTTAAAAACCTTGGATGGAAGATTGGACAAAATGTTTTCTCACTCATCTCACCATTTCCCATGATTTTTATTCAGGGCTGGGAAGATTCCACCATGATCTTTCTTAATGTACCTATGAATTTTCTCCTGCATTGCTCATAGCAGTGTCCAGGAGATTAATCTTCAAAAAGTATCCTGCAGAGTTCTGTATGAAATTTGAGCTGAATCTCATTTTCCTTGAGTTTCACTGAGAGTTTCTTTATGTGAGGCCTGCCAAGTTTTCTTGCACTATCATTCCGAACTCACCTCACTAATGACCTACCTTGTCCCTTACGGTGTCCCTTTCATCCAAAGCTGGGCCGACTGTACCACTCGCTATGACCTGACAAACTCAACTTTATTAGGATATCCCAGCATCCCTGGCACTGGTGCAAACTTTCAAACGTCATTGTTCACCCAGACTAGAGCCATCAGTCTGGAGATGCCTTGCATGGTACCTCGAACATGTCAGAAAAGGGTCAATTGGAGGTCCTGCTGAACTGGATGGTATAGAAGAGGGACATATTTTCTTCCCACAGGACTGACAGAAGAGACCATGCCACCCTGGTCTGACATTGCCATCCGGGTCAGTCCAACGTCTGGAGGAATGCCCAGCAATGTAAGAAGAAGGTCAATAACCATCTGTTCTCCAGTGTAAATGATCTCCTCTCTGCTAACTCACACTCACTATTTATGTTACTGCACAATCCTCTCACTACAGTTCATGCTCTACCTCTCTCACTATTGCCTGCAATGAGCTCCCTCACTTTCTTTTACCCACTTAGCTCCCCCAGACCATTAACCCTGTATGCCCTCTCTAATGCCTACTTATTCACTGCAGACACCTCACCACCTTTCCCTCACCTTCACCAACACTAACTGCTGTACTATCCATTTTTATCTCTCATCACACATCTCTCCCCTTCTCTCATTTCAGGAGAAAATAGCAAACAAAAAGGGCAGAAAAAGCTAAGACAGGAATTGGAATGCCTGATATTCAGCTTCACCCGCTACAAGGAGGGTATCCTGACCGTAACTGCCCCAAGTGACAAGTTAATCATGCCCAAGCATCTTGTCTGATGTTGGAGGCTGCCTTTGACTTACTGTGCTAGGACCTCCTGAGTAAAAGGTGCCCCCTTTAACTTGACTGAGGACTACATCCCTTAGACTTAGGAGCATGGTTATTTGCTTGAGACACACACAATGTTTTTGCATATGCAGGTGTAACACTGATTCAGCAATGGTGCCATACGGCAATATGGCCATCCCCAATCCCAAACAACCACCACCTCTGACTGGTGACTGCTCACAACTGTGAAAGCTTCCTGGCTTTGTTGCTCCACTAAAAGACAAGACAGAAATACTGTGTGCTGGTTAGTTCTGACTGAGGAGCAGAAGCACTGAAATGAAGGTAAGGTAGAGATGCTGATAAACCAGGTAGGTGCTAAGTGTGCAAGTGCTAAGTGAGCAAGTGAGCAGACATGAGATGTAACCTGAACTAATCCATGAGAAGTTGTGTGCCTCTACACAGAAAGTGTCCTTGCAGCTGCATTCCAATGATAGTTACCACTGCACTCGAAAGAGCAGCATACGAGTGCAGAAACATATTGTAAGTGTAGTTGCATTATGTTTGGCATGGACTGGTTGGACTGAAGGGTCTGTTTTCGTGCCGTATAATTCAATGACTCTATTAGAGATGTGCCATGATGAAGTGGTGAGATTGGCATCTGATACATGCCAATGTCCATGGACATGAGGTGCATTTGCCCTTTACAAAGAATAATAGATTAAGAAAACAAGCAAAACTGGCAAATAAGTTTCAAGGTTGAAAGTGTGGGCCCATCTATTTTGGACCTACAATGACATAACAGCATACTTTAAATTACAGAAAGCTAGAAACAGTGTAAATCCAAAAAGACATACATGTCCAGGTCCAGGGGCTGACAGATCATAAAATGGCATGAATAGTGCAGACAATCATTTAAAAAAAGCTAACAGTCTTCATACCTGGATAACTAGAATACAAGGAGGCAGGAGTTCTAGGTACTACAGTTTAGGAATAAAATATTAGGGTATGCATTTTGGATTTATCAGAATGAAAGATGGATTATATATTATAAGGAGAGATTTTCAATAATTTAGAAGGTTACTGTATGATTTAATAAAAGTTTACAATATTAGGGTGGACAGAGTTGATAATATTTACAGATATATTTTTCTTCATAACAAGTGAGGTTCACTTCCAGAAATGGTCTTTGATCCTGAAGAAAGAAGTGCTTAAAATAACATAACTACATTTAACTACCAGCAAAGGATATAATTAGTTCCTCTGTACTCTTCTAGATTTTCTTCCAAATAAATCTGTTGTATAAGTTCTGGAGAGATTAAATTTGATGTCACATTGGCTCCACCAATTCTGTTGATGTCACACACAGTCTAAGAGTGGACACAAAAAGTTCTACTCTTATTTTCAGAAGTAGAAGATATACCTGTTCTCACTCCCAGAGGCTCTAGTAGGTATGTCTAACCAAATGCCATTGCATTTATTACTTTCATGTTATCTAACAAATGTCTCTTCCATAGATACCCAACATGATGAATTGTCTACCACAAATTACTAGGTAGATTGTGGAACTGGTTAGCTCAGTTGGCCGGATGGCTGCTTTGCAATGCAGAGTCATTTCAATAGTACTAGTTTGATTTCCACATTAGCTGAGGTTGCCATGAAACCTCTCCCCTTGCTTGAGGTGTGGCGACCCTCATGGTTAAACCACCAGCAGTCATTTCTCTCTAATGAGAAATTATCCTATAGCCCTCTCGGACTGTAGTGACATTGCTAGCCAGGCTCAAGACAAAGGATGATTTGGGTGGTAGCAAACTATCTCAAACAAGCTTAATCCAGTACAACATACTGCGAGAGGTAACAAGGAGCAGGAATAGTCATTTGGAAAAATACTACAAAATCTAGTTGAATCCATTAAATAGTTTAACCAAGTGTTAAGTTAAGACAAGTTGGAGAGATTGTCTTCATCCTTATTTCTCCACCTTCCATTCCCCCATCATGAAATTGCTCCCTGACATATGTTAACATGTATTTACACAATCTCTTGATCTCCCATCCTTGTTTTTAAAGCTGTCCATTCACTTTCTCTAGCTCTGCAATCCTCAAATATATCTGTTATCCACTAATTTTAATTTCTCCACCCTTTGTAGCCATTCCCAGAATTGCCTCAGCTCTGAACTTCCCGCTGATTCTCTCCGAGTTTCTTTCTTCCTTTCATTGGTTCCTTAAAACCAATGTCTCTGACCAAGGTCCTGAACATCTGATATTGCCTTATCTGGCTCAGTGTCAAAGTTTGCTTTTCTGTGAGGCATTATGCAGCAGTTTGTTACATTAAAAGCTTTGCAGATAGTTGTTGATAAAGTAGTTACGAGTTAATAGGTTGAGTGAATTTCAATACTTACAATCTAGATTTTGCTACAGCAGTTATTTATTCATCAAAGCTTTCTAAATTTACAAAAGGCACTTCAGAATTTGGACAATACAGCATCTTTCCTTGATAATTCTTTTAATCAGACTCATCATGTGTGTTTTCAAAGGAAGAGAACAGAAATAACTAAACATGTATCATGGGTATATGTGTATCTTTAATGATCACCTTTTTTTTGCAAATTTCTACCAGTAGAAGTGCTTTTTTATCTTTTAATTTTATCTATGGTTTTGTTGTGTGCATTTTTATGTGGATTATTTAGAAAGAACCACAGAAACCTGGTTCAAAGCAGAACACTGCATCACTTGTAAAACCAGCTAATCTAAATCACACAACAGCATTGATAAAATAGCAGGGCTATTTTCTTACCTGTTATTTGAAGGACATCATTTTCAGCATTTGCGAATGGAGTCACACTAGTAGCTAAGTTGTGTTGGCTTGGTGCTAGAGATGCATATGGCTGTGGTGCCAAAGATTCATTTTTTACCATAGCATCATTGGAAAGCAATGTGCTTTTGTTACGATTTGCAAGAAAACAGGAGCTTGGTGATGCTGTGAATGTTGCTTTGCTAGCATCTGGAAAATGTAAACAGAAAAACCCTTAATGAAGGCAGGAGAGAGTAGGAATAAGTTAATCACATTGCAAAATGGTGATCAGGACAATCATTTACTTATGTCAGTTCTAAAAGAAGGAATATTTTTATATTGACTCATTGGATAGGAGTGTCACTGACTGAGCCAGCTTTTCTTGCACATCCTTAGTTGTTCATGAGAAGGTGTTGGTGAGCTGCCTTCTTGAACTGCTGCAGTCTGTGTGTGATAGATTGACCCACATTGCCCTTAGGGAGGGAATTCCAGGATTTTGACCCAGCAACAAAGAAGGCATGGCAACATTTCTCCAAGTCAGAGTCATGAGTGGCTTGGAAGGGAACATGCAGTTTGTGGTGTTCCCAAATATCTTCTGCCCTTGTCCTTCAAGTTGGAAGCAGTTATGAGTTTAGAAGGAATGAAGAAAACCATCATGAATTAGCACAAAAATAATGAGAAGTGTTCTAGAAAATTTTAGATAAAATTTTGAATCTAAGCTGAATGGAAAAGGAAGCAACATCAATGTGAAGAAAATTATTTTTTTCCATACAAGGCAATGAGGATCAAGGCAATGAGGATCTAGAATGCACTATATGAAAGTGTGGTAGGGTAGGTGCTAACTTAACTGAAGTCTTCAAAATAAAATTGGATAATCATCTGATATGCGCTTCTCATGACTGGTTAATTGTGATAGTTAGACTGGGACTGACAGGACGAACTGTTGCCCACTCTCTGGCCTGTAGTCACATATATCATCTGACCATGATATGCCCAAGTGGATGACTGACTGAGATTAAGTCCTGGACTCTGTGCTAAGTGTGTCCATGAACAACAGTACCAGGATTCCTTGACCCTAGACTTGAGGACTACTCCAATTACTTTCTGGCAAGGCCATTTAGTTGAATAAACACGTGGTGCATCTGCCATGCAGGCAGCTGGCACATGCTATAAGTGTTCCATTGACATTTTGGTGTGCCAAACAGAAAATTGTCACCCTCACCAGCCCCAGACAGAGCCCTACTGAGCAGCAAGACAATCAGCCTGTCTGTGAATCTATGCAAAAGAGCATGCCAATACAGTAGACCGGATAGTCTTTAGACTCTGGCTTACCACCAAAACAGTTACAGGCATGGCACGGCAAGACAAGGCATGGATACTGTGAGCATGTGGGTAGGCCCTGAGTTCACAAACACTAAGAGAACAAGTGACCAGCCCTGAGATTTGGCTGGCCCAATCCATGAACCAGATACCTGTCCTTGTACACTGAAGTGTCCTTGCAGCAGCCTTTCAATGCTAGTTGCAGATGTGCCCTCAAATGCTCATCTAAGCATCCTGAAAGTGAATTGAATCTCAAGGTGGGCCTCCACTGACTTCTCACATGATTCTGCCATGGTTTTGTGCCAAAGCTTATATTGTTCAGGCCTCTACAAAACTCAGTATACAGCCAGTATATCTTCTGTGTCGACTGCATACAAGATAATTTGACTATACTTGTACTCCATACAATAATCTAACCACTTTAGAATTGACCATTACAAAAGCACTGACTATTCATCGTACATTTAAAATGGGCACCAATTATGCATCTACTGAGGGTGCTCTGAGAATGAAGAGAATAATTTTTGAAAGGCATTACTTAGATGTTACGAATGGGGTATCCTCAAGATTTACTGCCTACAATGATCCACCAAAGGTCTGAGTCATAAACTAATGTATGGTATCCCCCAGTGACAGGCTGTAAAATCCGGGCATGAAAGGTGTTGGAAAATCTGTTTCTATTTTTCATCCACAGAATGGGTGTGTTACTGGCTATGCCGCCATTTATTGCCTTTCCCTAATTTCCAGGGGGCAATTAAGAGTCAACCATATTGCTGTAGGTCTGGAGTCACATACAGGCCAGTCCAGCAGATTTCCTTCCCTAAAGACCACTCATGAACCAGATGGGCCTTTTCCCCAACAATTGGCAATGGTTTCAAGGACTCTTTATTCCAGATTTTATTGAATTCAAATTCCACCATCTGGCATGATGGGTTTCAAACCTGAATCCCCAGGACATTAATATGGGTCTCTGGATTAACAATATAGCAATAATAACACCAGGTCATCAACTCTTCCGGGTCATCCTTTGACCAGAGATTCTTAAGTGGCTAGTTAAAGACTACTTAATGACTACTCAGGCGTGACCTCCCCTTATGCCTTGCTGACTATTTTTGATTAATGTCTGCCTTTCCACGTGCGGATTATTTCTGTCCCTCAGAATTGCTTCCAATAGTTTCCCCAACACGGAGGGTTATACTGTTTGGCGTGTCATTTCCTGCTTTACCCCTTCCTCCCTTCTTGAATAACAGTAACACATTGGCTGTCCTCCTGTCCTCTGGCACCTAACCTGTGGCTAGAGAGGTATTAAAAATTAATGTCAGCATGCCTGCTATATCGTCCCTTGCCTCACTTAAAGGCCTGGGACACATTCAATCCTCCACCCTTAAGGTTTAGCCTATGCAGGAGGAAGCCCTTACTCAGTATGTAACCCAATAAGTTTTACTGCACATAATGATGAACAAAGGGCATTTCATTAATGGGGCTCCTCATGCCCACTGGAGCTTCCCACCACGTGTCCCCACCTTCTCTCACATCCTTAGCACCCCCCTCCCCATACTGTTCAAACAGAAGCAAGCTTGTCCTTGACTTTAACACCAGGAAGCACCAATAGAGGATAATATAAACATCCCCTATTTTAGTGATGTTTATAGTGTCTTTCACTGTGAAGATTAAAGCTAAATATGGGCTTAAATTATCCGCCATTTACTTCTTCCCTGTGATTAATTGCACAGTGGCAACCTCTGACAGTCCCATATTTACTTTGGTTACTTCCTTTCATTTATAAATTTGTAGAAGATCCTGCTGTCTTTTTTTATTTCTTGGCAATTTACTTTCACAATCAATTTTGTTTCTCTTTAGTATCTTTCTGGTCATCTGCTATTGGTTTCTAAATAAATCCCTTTGGCCTACCATTAGTTTTTACCATGTGTATGCCTTAGTTTTTGATTGTATACTGCCCTTGAACACGTTTTGTTCACCACACTTTGTTCATCCCCCTTATCAAGTCCTTCTTTTTGACCAGAATAATTTTTTTCCTGCATTTTAGAAAATATCCAATCAAATATCTACCATTGCTCATCTACTGACTTTCCATTAGTCTATTTTCCCAGCCTGCTTTAGCCAACTCTTTCTTCATTGTTTTGTAATTGCCCTTAACAAATTTGCAGCCTCTAGCTTGAGACCCAAGTTGTTTTGCCTCAAACTGAATTTTAAATTTGACCATGTGAGATCACTACCTCTGAAAGGATCCTTAACTCAGATCTTTTATTAATCCTACCTCATTACGCATTAAATCTAAAATAACCTGTTCCAGGGTAAGTTGTGCAATGTATTGCTCTAAGAAACAATCCCAAAGCACTCGGCAAATGTGTCTTCTATGTTGTACTTGCCCATCTGATTGGTCCAGTTAATATGAAGGTTAAAATCACTCATAACAACTGTGATGTCCTTCTTATACAATTCTATTATTTCTCAATTTACAAAAAACAAAGAACAAAGAACAAAGAAAAGTGGCCCTTCAGCCCTCCAAGCCTGTGCCGATCCAGATCCTCTATCTAAATCTGTCACCTATTTTCCAAGGATCTGTATCCCTCTGCTCCCTGCCCATTCATGTATCTGTCTAGATACATCTTAAATGACGCTATCGTGCCCGCCTCTACCACCTCTGCTGGCAATGCGTTCCAGGCACCCACCACCCTCTGCGTAAAGAACTTTTCACGCATATCTCCCTTAAACTTTTCCCCTCTCACCTTGAAATCATTAAGCCCTAGTAATTGAGTCCCCCACTCTGGGAAAAAGCTTCTTGCTATCCACCCTGTCTATACCTCTCATGATTTTGTAGACCTCAATCAGGTCCCCCCTCAACCTCCGTCTTTCTAATGTAAATAAACCTAATATACTCAACTTCTCTTCATAGCTAGCGCCCTCCATACCAGGCAACATCCTGGTGAACCTCCTCTGCACTCTCTCCAAAGCATCCACATCCTTTTGGTAATGTGGCGACCAGAAGTGTACGCAGTATTCCAAATGTGATCGAACCAAAGTCCTATACAACTGTAACATGACCTGCCAACTCTTGTACTCAATACCCCGTCCGATGAATGAAAGCATGCCGTATGCCTTCTTGACCCCTCTATCGACCTGCGTTGCCACCTTCAGGGTGCAATGGACCTGAACACCCAGAATCCCTGCGCATCAATTTTCCCCAGGGCTTTTCCATTTACCTTATAGTTCGCTCTTGAATTGGATCTTCCAAAATGCATCACCTCGCATTTGCCTGGATTGAACTCCATCCGCCATTTCTCCACCCAACTCTCCAATCTATCTATATTCTGCTGCATTCTCCGACAGTCCCCTTCACTATCTGCTACTCCACCAATCTTAGTGTCATCTGTAAACTTGCTAATCAGACCATCTATACCTTCCTCCAGATCATTTATGTATATCACAAACAACAGTGGTCCCAACAGGGATCCCTGTGGAACACCACTGGTCACAGTTCTCCATTTTGAGAAACTCCCTTCCACTACAACTCTGTCTCCTGTTGCCCAGCCAGTTCTCTATCCATCTAGCTAGTACAGCCTGGACCCTATGCGACTACACTTTCTCCATCAGCCTACCATGGGGAACCTTATCAAACGCCTTACTGAAGTCCATGTATATGACATCCCTTCCCTCATCTATCAACTTTGTCACTTCCTCAAAGAATTCTATCAAGTTGGTATGACATGACCTTCCCTGCACAAAACCATGCTGCCTATCACTAATAAGCCCATTTTCTGCCAAATGTAAATAGATCCTATCCCTCAGTATCTTCTCCAGCAGCTTCCCCATCACTGACGTCAGGTTCACCGGTCCATAATTACCTGGATTATCCTTGTTACCCTTCTTAAGCAAGGGGACAACATTAGCAATTCTCCAGTCCTCCGGGACCTCACCCGTGCTCAAGGATGCTACAAAGATATCTGTTAAGGCCCCAGCTATTTCCTCTCTCGCTTCCCTCAGTAACCTGGGATAGATTCCATCCGGACCTGGGAACTTGTCCACCCTAATGCCTTTTAGAATATCCAACACTTCCCCCCGCCTTATGCTGACGTGACCTAGAATAATCAAATATCTATCCCTAACCTCAACATCCGTCATATCTCTCTCCTCGGTGAATAATGCGCAAAGTATTCATTAAGAATCTCACTCATTCTCTGACTCCTCGCATAAATTCCCTCCTTTGTCCTGGAGTGGGCCAACCCTTTCTCTAGTTACTCTCTTGCTCCTTATGTACGAATAAAAGGCTTTGGGATTTTCCTTAACCCTGTTTGCTAAAGATATTTCATGACCCCTTTTAGCCCTCTTAATTCCTCGTTTCAGATCGGTCCTACTTTCCCGATATTCTTCCAAAGCTTCGTCTGTTTTCAGTCGCCTAGACCTTATGTATGCTTCCTTTTTCCTCTTTGCTAGTCTCACAATTTCACCTGTCATCCATGGTTCCCTAATCGTGCCCTTTCTATCCCTCATTTTCACAGGGACATGTCTGTCCTGCACTCTAATCAACCTCTCTTTAAAAGCCTCCCACATGTAAAATGTGGATTTACCCTCAAACAGCTGCTCCCAATGCACATTCCCCAGCTCCTGCCGAATTTTGCATAGTTGGTCCCCCAATTTAGCACTCTTCCTTTAGGACCACTCTCGTCTTTGTCCATCAGTATTCTAAAACTTACGGAATTGTGATCATTATTCCCAAAGTAATCCCCTACTGAAACTTCAACCACCTGGCCGGGCTCATTCCCCAACACCAGGTCCAATATGGCCCCTTCCCGAGTTGGTCTATTTACATATTGCTCTAGAAAACCCTCCTGGATGCTCCTTGCAAATTCTGCTCCATCTAAACCCCTAACACTAAGTGAATCCCAGTCAATGTTGGGAAAATTAAAATCTCCCATCACCACCACTCTGTTGCTCCTACATCTTTCCATAATCTGTCTACATATTTGTACCTCTATCTCGCGCTCACTGTTGGGAGCCCTGTAGTACAGCCCCAACATTGTTACCACACCCTTCCTATTTCTGAGCTCTGCCCATATTGCCTCACTGCTCGAGTCCTCCATAGTGCCTTCCTTCAGCACAGCTGTGATATCCTCTTTGACCAGTAATGCAACTCCTCCACCCCTTTTACCTCCCTCTCTATCCCACCTGAAGCATCTATATCCTGGGATATTTAGTTGCCAATCTTGCCCTTCCCTCAACCAAGTCTCAGAAATAGCAATAACATCATATTCCCAGGTACTAATCCAAGCCCTAAGTTCATCTGCCTTACCTACTACACTTCTCGCATTAAAGTTACATTTAATCCTATAGTAATACAGTGCTTCAGTGGCTTATAGATGACTTCCAACATGACTTCTTTCCCTTGCCACTTCTTACTTCCACCCAAACCGATTCCACAACACTGTCTGTTGCACTTATATCATTTCTCACCAATGTACTGATATCTTCCTTCAACTAAAGTTACCCCAATTCCTTTTCCTTTACTAGAGCATCAAATACCCTTGAATTTTGAGTTCCCCATTTTGGTCAACCTCCAGCCACACCTCCGCAATATCTATCAAGTCATATTCATTTATTTCTACTTTTACTGTTAATCCATCAATTTTGTTACAAATGCTAGGGGCATTCAGAAGAAGAGACTTAAGATTTGAGTTTTTGTCATTATTATTAGTGGTTACTCTGGGCCTAATTTCTGCACATTCTTCTACATGTATTTGCTACCTTTGCTCACATACATTAGAGAAAAGCAGGCAAGGTGAGAACTCCCCTGTGACAGGCAGTCGGCGTCACTGAGAAGAGAATGCGAAGTAAAGATGTTCTAACAAACAGTCAGCATTGCAGAAAGGAGCAGGTAACATGAGGAAGCAAATCGATCAGCGGTGGACCTGAGTGATATTTGGGCCGTAAACAAGAATACAATTTTTCTCAGAGTAAGGGTAAAAAAAAAATCAAGAGACACACTATTTAGTTAACATACATAGGGAGCTCAGGCCATAATTTGTACATCCTGCACTATGTGGGAAATCTTAGATCCTCTTGGACATCTGGATGACCATGTGTGCAGGAGGTGTGTCTGACTAGAGTAACTCCTGCTCAGGGTTTTGTAGCTTGAATGGCCCTAGGGCTACAGAGTTGCAAGGGGAGGTGGTACATTAATGCTATTGCCTTTGGACTAGTAATCCAGATCCCAGGCTAACGTTCTTAGGGGCTGGGTTCAAATCCCATCACGGCAGATGCTGAAATTTGAATTCAGTGAAAAAGGAACATAGAGTTAGCTTAGTAGTGATCATGTATATATTGTTAACTGTTGCAAAAAATGCAACGGTTCACTAATGTCCTTTAGGGAAGGAAATCTGCTATTGGTCTGGCCTACAAGTGATGCCAGACTCACAGCAGTGAGGTTGACACTCAATCATCCTCTGGTAAATTAGAAATGGGCAACAAATGCTGGCATCACCAGTCACACGTACATCTCATAAACAAACAAAAAGTCCTGAGGCTGGCTGAGACGTTTGTAGCCAGCCACCTTTGAAGATGTGGTCACTCAGCAGCCAAACGAAGTGCAGACAGACAGGGAAATGGTTGATTGCCAGAGAGAAGGGCACCAAGAGGAGTGAGAGAATACCCCAAGTACAACTTGTTTGCTCATTGTTTTCAGCCTTGGAAAATGTGCAGCGTGATGGTTCTTTTGTGAAGGCCAGTCAAAGGAGCGGCAATGACACTGTGGGTGGTCCAGCTGCTCTTGGAGGTTGGAAGTATTGTGGACAATCAACAGCAGGAGGGGATTCATTACTGAGGGGAGCAGATCAGTGCTTTTGCAGTTATAAATGAAATTTCAGGATGGTATGTTGCCCATACTCAGTTGATCTCACTGGTAACAGAAAAGTTTTCATGTTTACAGAAAGCAGAAACTTTTTCGTTTCTTCATTGAAAATACCTGCATTTTTCATATATTTGTCCAGGAGATTCTGTAGTTCCTGCTCCTTGTCATTGTTAAACTGAGTCTCCATGGCCAATAGAATATATTCATCCAACAGCATTCGAATCAGATGAAAGGAACCTAGAGGGAGATGGAGTGAAGCAAAGTTATCTCAGTGACCATCTGCTCACATGAAAGAAAAAAAACATTGTTTAACTGCAAATAGTCTCCTTCTTTCTCAAACAAGGCAGAGTGTTTTTTTTTAAATTCTAACCGTAATCTGTTGTAAGGTTCACCTACCTCATATTTTGTTTGGGCCCTTGTCAAAGTGTCAGGTACATATAGCTGCCCGACTGAACCCACATCCCCCACTCCTACCCCCAAACTGCTCATGCCTGAACAAGTACGGCACAGGACAGAGATAGCAACAGAAGTGACCAGAAGCTGTGTGTCTGCCATTTTGTGGCTTCCATAGCAACAGCTTCAGTGGTGCTACAAAGCAGAACTTAACAGTCTCTTAAATTTGTTTCTCTCTCCACTGATGTTCTCTGACCTGAGTATGCCCACTGCTTACTGTGTTTAATCAGTAATATACTTCAATGCCATCTGATCAAGTGTGTTCTAACAACACTAGAAAAGAAAAATTACATATACTAATGGTACTGAAAATTTTCGTTTAAATACATTAAGAAAATTGCACAAGTACACAACAGTAATCTCATTTTGTACTTCTGCTGAATCTGGTATTGATATTAATAACCAGGAGAATTTTGCATTCTAGACTTTTATTTCTTTGTAAATTTTCTAATCCTAATAGGATTGGCTCTCAATCCAATAAGTTACCCCTTCAGTATCAATTGTAATGATTATTAAAATGTTCTGGAGTTATGTTCATCAAACAGTCACTATAGTTCCAGATTCTGATTGTGAATCATTTCTGAAAGATATGTGAAAGACATTAATAAATTTGGGTGAGAGGAATTAAGTCATCAAGCTATGTTAGAAGACACTTGAGGCGATTTGGTGAACTGGTTACCTAGCAAGCAGTAGCAATTCCAAACTCACAGCTCAAGATGTTTGATCCCTCTAAGCCAACAATTCACTGAAATGCATTTTTTGAATCCTGTCTCAGGATTAATCATATCTCAGTAAAGAGTTTGAAATAGCCATTACTGTGCAGCTCATCCTAATTTTGCATGTAAGTAATTACAGATATTGAACTGTGCAAAAGATGAAAATGTGAAAGTTTACCAAAGCTTGAAGCATTGTTTAGAGTGAGGTTATGCATCACTCGGGCTCCAAAAAAACTCCATCTCAAAAGAAAATCTTGAGCTCTCTTCTTAAGGGATCTTCCATTTTGTTTACTTGGCTTAAAAAAAAAGTTAACTAATAGTCATACATTAGACAAAAATATACATAATAAAAAAGAATTTGTTTTTAACTTTTATACAAATATTGCATTTCTAAAAGATACCTTGATGACCCTTTGCTCTACTATTATGTCCAACCATTCAATGAATGATTCCACTGTAGCATTTTTCTTCAACAGGTCCTTCAATTCTTGAAACACTGTAATAGAGTCATCTAGCATGTAAAAAAGGAAAATGTGAGATTGCTCTAACTATTTGAAAACTTAGACCACTCAATTTCAAACGGCAACAGAAGATCAAAAGCTTAAGCTGACTTTTGATTGACTATAAGCTAACTACTACTAAATACAATGGATGGAATTTTCCCACCCGGGAGATGGTGAAGGAGATGGCAAGACGAAAGAGAAATGGTTGAGTTGGCCCTAGAGAAATACTTACTCCCTTTTCATCAATCCACCAACTAAGTACTAGTCAAGCCAGCCCTTTTGGACCTTTTTTGATTCACCACCAATGAAGCCCCTTAGCTGGTTAACTAACAGCCACTTAAAGGCCTGGACTCACCACCAGCCTGATTTCCTGCAAAGGCTGCTCTCTGGACTGGAAAAACAGGGTGTCTTGCCAGGGATTAGGCTTCCATTTGTCCCCAGATGGCTTGTCAAAACCACCCTCTGTACTTACCTCTGATTGGCCTCTCCCCATGACCCTCATCTCACAAGAGGCAAAAGAAAACTACTTACGTTCTCACCACTGTATCTCCTCAAGACTAAGCAGTGACCAGTGGTCCTTAGAAGGCAGAAGTTATCAGCCGCTGATTGGCTGACAGCTTCTTAAAAGGCAAGACTCCACTAGCAATAGGTTAAGAAGCTCATTGGTTGGCTCTTAACAAGTTGCTTGGCTCTCCATTCAACGATCTTTCAACCTTGGGTTTAATTTATGGGCGAGATGTTAACAAATTGGGCTTAGATCATTGATACACCTTTCAGCTCAGAATGTATTCAAGGGGTAATATTCTGGAAGAGTGAAATGATAACTATGTGGTAAGGAGATTAGGTCATCAGGAAGATTTAAGAATTCAGGATTGATGGAAGAGGGTGAATTATAGTGGGTGATTTAGAATCAAACTATAAAGATAGAGAGTGAAAGAAAGATTGGATTAAGACAGAAAACAGAAAGGAAAAGTAGAATCAAAGCACTAAATTCTCTAGCCACAATTCACCATTGTAGAAATGAGAGGGAAGTCTTTAAAGTGTCCCTTTCTGGGACAACAGCACATGGGTATTGACATTAACAACTGACATCCCATGAAAACAAATCCTCATTAAAATGTTCCAGAACTAATTTCCTGCAATCAGTTTGATGTGTAAATCCAGTACTTAAAAATAACAGGTGATATACTGTTTCTATGATGCAAAAGTGTCGTAAATTTACCTTCTAATTCTGCAGCCAAAGCAAAATACTGTGGATACTCAGCTCCATCCAAGGTCAAAAAGTTTGCTTGTTTGGCACCCCATCTACTATCTTCAATATTCAGTCCCTCTATCACCAATATGCAGTGGAAGCCATCTACTATCACTGCACTGCAACACTCACCTGTTTGACAGCATCTCCCAAACTCAAGTTTCTACCTCCTAGAAGGACAAGTACAGTAGATCCACATGAATACCACAACCTATAAATTTCTCTCTAAGTCACACACCATCCTGAGTTGGAGATGGTAGTAACTGCAGATGCTGGAGAATCTGAGATAACAAGGTGTAGAGCTGGATGAACACAGCCAACCAAGTAGCCTTCTGAAGAAGGGTCCTGACCCAAAACGTCAGCTTTCCTGCTCCTCTGATGCTGCTTGGCCTGCTGTGTTCATCCAGCTCTACACCTTGTTATCTCTTATCCGGAGTTGGAATTGTGTTGCCATTCCTTCACTGCTGCTGGGTCAAAATCCTGCATTTCCCTTCCTAACAGCACCATGGGTGTACCTGCACCATATTAAAGCAGTTAAAGAAGGCAGCTGACCTCCAACCTCCCAAAGAAATGGGAATAAATGCAAGCCCCACCATCAAACATCCCACAAATGACCTTTTTGTTAAAAATGCTGGTAATCAGAATAAATCAGAAATACTGAAAATATTTGGTCGATGTGTATTTCTAGCATTTATCAAGATCTATCTGTCATATCATATGTATGTGTATATATTTACTCCTTTATATCTCAAGATCTGTAGAATTGAACTCAAGGCTCATCTCTAAACCTCCTGTGTTTCCTTGCCGATTTATGCATTAATAATGGAATGTGTCACTGACACGGCAAAGGTTTTGTCCAAAATGTACAATGCCTCTAAAATTTGGTGATACCAAATGTGATTACAAATGTTCCATTGGAATACTTGTTTACAATCTCCCATGTGTTACCAGGTTTATGTAATTTTCCTCCAGAATCAAAGTACCAATTACCCTACAAAAATTGACTGTGCTGACATAGAAACATGGAACTAGACATTACCTCTGGTGCCTCTTAAAGAGAAGCTTTAATACTCCTCAAACAGCAGATAAAGAACTAGAGCAGAATTTAAAATGGAACAGCTCCATTTTCTGCTTTATTCTTTTAATCTGTGATTTCAATAGTCCTAGTTTACGTAGCACATTTTGGTCCCATTAATAAATGCAAATTGTACAGTGAACACCTGTGGAATCAGCAGATGTCCATAAATGGTTGCAAACCTGACCACCATCCCTCAAACACTCCTATCAATGTTCCTCAAAGAAAGTCTTCACCTTGACTATCCCTGGGTTACACACCCTAGCTAGCCACAAGATCAATATTATACCATCATTACCCACTCTGAAATAACTTGCTTCAGTTTTGATGTTGAATGGTGACATCTGTGCCAACCTGGTCTTTCTTTACATCACAAGGCACACAAAACTGTATCTCTAAATTGGACTTTTTGCATCTGCTTTCTGCTTGGATGATGGCAGCAATGAGGTCCATTTTGAATTCCCTACTCTCGAAAAGTCCTTACATATTTCATTCCCTTTTGCCATCTGCCTCCATTTCCTCCAAAAAACCTTGCCCTTCAGCAGTACCTTAATGCAATCTTCTCCAATTTAGCTTTTACCCTGAAGTTTTTGGAATTCAATGTTTCTTTTCCTCTTTACATTCATGCACATAAGGAATGATAAAGAAACTCTCTTTTTAACCGATATTAGATTTGTATAAGTTATAAGTAAAATGAGTACAAGTTGACTCTTATAACTTATTCGATTCAAACAGGATTCAAGCTAGTATTTCACTGTTCCTCTTCTTAAGGGTACTTAAGTTCACAGCCAGCTTTTCCCAATCAAAAGGTTGGGTTAAAGATGTGCTCAGACTTTTATTCTTGAGCATACTACTGGGAGATCAATAGGCATTACTATACCGTGTACTGTTACTGTTCAGGCAGTGCAGCTAAGACTGAATACAAAGGAAAATATAGTCATGATTCTAAATCTTACCAGGCTCAGATGTGTTTCACTAGTATATACTACATATTACCTACTTGTGAGAGTATTTATCTATGTAAAGGTGGGCTCCTTTGGGACAATGACCTCAGGGTTGAATCGCTGGTACAATCATTGAAACACTGACCATTGAAAGACAGCAACATCAGAAATGCAAACTGTGTTTGTGATATAAATAATTGCTTCAAAGCCCGCATGAATAATTATCAACTGATTGTAGGTAATGCTTTTATATGTTTGTCTTAAATCAGAGTTTTTCTAATGTGTATACTTATCTTGTTTGTTACATTATCTGCAACAGCCTGTAGCTGCTAATTAAAATTACTTAATATGCCATGACCAGTATCACGTACTTACAATCAGAATACAGTTCAAAGTCCTGATCTGTTCCACCCGATACTGTAAGTAGGGCCTGTGAACTAATGCTGTTTAGATCCACCTTTTCAATGTCAGCCACCATGGAATTCACAACAGTCTGGTCAAATAAAGCAGGCCTGGCAATCTGAGCAGGACGATACATTAAACACATTTAACAATAAGTACAATGCGAAAAACACTCAAATATTTGATTTTGTTCAACACATGCCTGTGCGAGATGTAAAAATGAAGTTTGCCGTTTTAGAGAAGAAACAAATCTCTGCGCAATGGGAAGTTTCTTTTCAGAAAGGCTATCTGGGAGATTTTCCAGTGATGAAGACATCCAGTGCTCCCAATGCTTAGCAAAATTCCTGATGTCTGCTAGCAAACTGAAAAATAAAAATAGATTGAATCAAACAATGTCCTAATCCCTTTACAGAAAGTTTCTTTTGGATTTTACAAATCAAACAATTTAGAGAACTGCCTTTTTCCCTTATTCTTTTTGCTGTAACTAAACATTAACTTGTTTAAAACAATAAACACTAAATCTTCTCATAAAATCCTTCATACTTGCTATGATTGTCTATGAAAGCAGGGTGAGATGTTGGTATAGTAGTAGTATCACTGAGATAATCCAAAGGCTCAAGTTTACAGGCTTGTAAATCCCAGTGGAATAGTGGGCAAAATTTATTTTCTTTCATTAAATCTGAAATTGGCAGTTAGTTTTAGCAACAATGACCATGGAACTCTTATTAAAAACTCTCTAATCTGCAATCTTTACCTGGTGTGCCTTACTAATGACTCTAGATCCACAACAATGTGGTTGACTCTTAACTGCTTTCTGAATTGGGCGAGCAAGCTGTTTGGCTCAAGGGTATGAGGGATGGGTAAAAATGCTGGCCTTGCTAATGATCCTCACATCCCATGACAGAATAAAAAAAGGGAGAAAAGGCCCAAAAACCCAAATACAGCAAACATTTTATCATGCTGTACATCAAAACCAGCAGCATGCAGGACATTTTGATATGTTTTTACACTTTCTTGCAGACAAACGACACCATGGTGTGCCAGACATTATTTTAAATGGGACGTGATTTAACTTATAAGTATATATTGTTATGCAAATAAGGTACAAATGTTAAATTGATTTATTTAAGTGTCTGTCCACAACTGTAGCCATGATGTGGAGGTGCTGGTGTTGGACTAGGGTGTGTTTGGTCAGAAATCACATAACATCAGGTTTTAGTTCAACAGGCTTATTTGAAAACACAAGCTAAATCACATTTGGCAAGCTGCAGTCTGATAACACTTAGGGTAGCAGCAACTTGTCAACTTCGCTGTGTTTGGGTCTGTAAAAATACAGGAGAGTTTGCCTGTTTATACTGGCCTCACCACATCATCATGATGGATGTTTACACCTCTAAAGTGAAATCTGTTAACAATAGGCTAATGAGAGCAAGAACTGTTGACCATGAAGTATGACCATCCAGGCAAAAGTCCAACTGAATTGCTCCTCTACTCTACAAGTTTATGTGCATGACTTGTCGAATATGGAAGTGGCTATGTTTCTTTGAAGTATCAGTTTTGACCCTAGTCATTAGAAATGTAATTTTTATTTAACCAAGAAAGATTTCAGAGAATTGCATTTCAGGAAATGGACAACTACATTTCTGTTGTGGAACCTCTATCATCTGGTAAGTTATAGCTATTCTCATTTATGACCACATGATAGAAGCACAACAAAAATGACAGTAAGATGAAATGAGAAAAACCCCTGAGTTGAATTACATGTGAGGGAATAAGATAAACTAAGACAGTAGCTTTTACCCGAGCTTACACACTACACTACTTCTAAGTGTTCTATCAGAATCAGGCAATAATTCATTAAGGAATAACAGATAGTACTGTGTTCCATTGCAACTTGACTTTCAACGTCTTCTCAGGTATAAGCAAGCATACGAAAATCCATTATACTTCAAGAAATAGTGTCCAACATAAAGTAGTTCTACTGTGCACACTTTAGGTCCTTCATGGTGACTTCAATTATTGTGGGAAATGAAAACATGCTGTTGACATCACTCTGCATCACAAATAGGCTTTTAACCAACAGAGCTAACTGACACCTCCCACCACCAACACCAACACCAACACCCCTCCCACCCTGCCCCGCCCCACCCCACCCCACCCCACCCCCAAAGGGATGTAACTGATTAAGTGCAGCCCAAGTACAATAAGTAATGAGACTTGTTTTTTCAAATGATGCTGAAAAGTGTCAGTTGTATCTTTTGGTAACACTCACACCTGAGGTACAAGTGCCACCACAGAGCTGAAGCACAACAAACAGAGCTGCCACTCTAATGCAGTACTGCAGAAGTGCTGCATTGTTGGATGTGCCTTCTTTCAGATTAAACCAATGCAAGGGCCTAAGATAGGGTTTGCAGGTGCTGCCAATGACCAGGACCTGGGCTCATTCACCAATGAGCCGATCAATTGGGATATTCCATTATTTTGTTTGAGTCTAGATTTAGAATAACAGCTTTGAATAAGAGCAATCATTGGCTGATTAGGAAGTGCCTTATTTCTCAGGGCCACCTTTCTTCCTTGCCTCATGTGGTGACTTGTGGACTTTCCTGTTCACCCTGACTGGAAGATGCTTGAACACAATGTTAGAGAAGCTATTCTCAAACTCCTCTGTCAATATATACGGCCCTGCCTCGGACCAGGGTGTTCTGACCTGACATCCTACCATCCTCCCCACCTCTCACTAGTTGATGGCTTCTTCACCCTCACAGATGGAAGGCCATTCTTGCTGATCCAACTTCCTTCCCTTGACAGTGTTCACACTGTGAGTCATGATGGCTTCTTCACTCTGTCCCCAAAACCAGGTCAAATTTGTTAACTTGGCTTTCTCCCTCCAAGTGAAGTGTGTGTGTGTGTGTGAGGGAGTGAGAGACAAATCATCATTTTTGTTCTTTATCACATTGACGGTTTGTTAGCTCAGAGATTTGCTTATGCTCACATCATGCATTACATTTAAAATTATATTGTATCTCACATTGCTGCTGCTGATTTCTTATTGAAGGGGGGGAATGAGAGTCTCAAAAGGTTGCTTTTCTGACAGCTGCCAGAACAGGATATCTTTACTCCAAAAGAAATGGGAAGTGTGTAAATGTTGAGCAAGTCTGCTGGTATCTGTGCAGACAGATTGTGGTCAGAAATAGTGTAGATGTTGCCAAATCTATTGAGTATTTTCTGTTTGCATTTCAGATATCCACTATCTGCTGGGCTCCCTGATTTGGACCAGGTTAATTGCTTTAATCAGGGAACTCATATTCTTTGTGGTCCACCTGGCTGACCTCATTTAAATCACTACAAATCTGTAATAGTGATTAGTTTCAATAATCACTAACACTCTTTACATTTAATATTACTTGAAGGACTTAAGTTATGAGGGATTGTGGAAAACAGAATTTATTTTAACTTTTGTGGACATACCCGGAGTAGTTTCTTTAAAAGAGGTTCTTGAAAATTCACTGTGGGCTTTAGAGGCTTTTTATTAACAATGCTGCCTTTAAATGACTAATGATAACTGCTTGCTTTGCTGTAATCCCTGCTGGGGTTAGGTTTTGAACAGTGATTGGCTTGGAGAAGCTCTCATTTGATCAATCTGACTTGAACAGAATCCTGTTCAGAACAAGCTGAGTTGCAGGAAAACATGAGAGCTGAGCTAGAGGAAAGCTTGCTATGGGCAAGCTCTGTTGCTGATATCTCCCATTTTTAGTTTTGATCAAATGATTGAAAGAACTCTCAATATTATATTTCATGAGCATCGTGTCCACAAGACTTAAGAGACAACTGAGCATGATTAGTGACTAGACCACAATGCCAGAACATTAAAGCAACAAATTCTGGAACATCTAACCCGTTATCCTTTTATCTTTAAGAATTAAAACAAAAATGCATTTGCATCAAACAGCAGCGCAATGCATGTTTTCCAGTTATTATTGAAGTGAGGTTCACAAATGACATTATTAAAGAAGAAATAAAACATTTTATTGATTTATCCCCAGACTACACATTTGTGATAATAATTACATTCTCTGCAGTAGTTATTACAAAATTATACATATATGAAGTATCATTTATGTTGATTTTCCCATCAAGGACATATGCCTACCTTTCTGGCATCTCTTGCATTGTGGCTGGAATCAACACATCTGTCAGGACCTTGGGAGAAATATGAAGGAATATGACACTTTTATTTAACTCAGTGAATTTAAAAGATGGTCAGCAAATCTGGAACAAATATCTTCTAATTCTGTGAGTGCAAAGTTAACAAGTGATCAGTTCAAAATTACAAATGTTTGTTTCTAAATTCTGGTGTATTCCCAGTTCACACATAATGTGTGATGGGGAAGTCATCCTTGACTATGTTGGTTCAATTTTCTTACCATGTGTTTGTGTGCCCTTTTATCTTATTTTTAAATGTAGTGAACACTGATTTGTTACAGCTTAAGGAACTCTCAAATTAACTTTGTCTTTTTCGTTAGGCAAAAAGGCACATTATAAAGTTGTTAAACAGTAAAATAATTTTATTTACATAGGAAATGACTAGCTAACACCAATGAAATCAATAAGTATTTCTGTACTTCTGTTTTTGATATAATCATTAGTACTCATTAGGTAGTACAAGAATTGAGTATTGCAAAAAAAAAGCTATTGAAACTTGTCAACTTACATTCATCAGGACAATTCACAAAAATACCTAAGTAAAAAGAAAACAACATTTATACTGTATGGGAAGCGAATGCTGATTGCTTGGCAAACTTATTATGATTGGTCAGTGCATTGCCATGGGGAATGCACAGGTAAATGATGACTGACAATTTTCTGATGAAGGGTCTAGGCCTGAAACGTCAGCTTTCCTGCTCCTCTGATGCTGCTTGGCCTGCTGTGTTCATCCAGCTCTACACCTCGTTATCTCAGATTTTCCAGCATCTGCAGTTCCTACTATCTCAAGTACCCAGCTTTGTTCTTTTTAACTGAGAGGTTGAATCTTATTAGTCAGGCATTGTCCTGAGAAATGAACTAGAGAATGTCTGTCACCTACTTTATTAAGTTTCTGAAATGCAGATGATGCATTTGCTATATTTATTATGTTCTAGCTGAACATAAGCATTTCTATCCATTTCTTATTGGGCTCATCCTGTGCTCAAATTCACCTTTTAAATAGAGCATCAAATTAGCTCTCTTTTCTTGATGTCTTAGTTGATAAATCAGCGAGGGGGGGTTTTCCATTGCTGTCAAACACAAATCTATCTTCACTGATGTTCATAACAGGAAAGGTATTGGCAATACACAAGCAGCCAGTGTTGTAAATCTCATAATACAGTATCCAGCATTAGTGATTCCACAATTAGATAGCATTTGGTAAGTAATCCTGAATGTGCAAAGAATTAGACTGACAACCAATTTAGAACTGTCAACTGGGCTTGCAGTATGGTGCATTTGTATGTATTAGGAGCTACAAGTGATAACATACAAGGTCGTGTTCTTTGCAGGAAGAAATCATATATACACTATGCCTATCTCAACTCAACAACATGGATGACATCCATTATCTGGTTCATTTCTTACTGCATTGTCTGTGCCAATCATGGTGAACCAGCCTGGTTAAAAGTTTAATCAAAGCTTGGAAGGTAACCGACAGTCTTTGTTAACTGGTGCATTCTCCAAGATAATACCTCTCTTAAACAGTCAATTTTGTCAAACACTTGGCACTCTTCTCCCATACAGCATAAATGTTGTTTTGCCTTTACTTTTGCACTTCTTGTGAATTGTCCTGATGATGAGTATTAGATGAAAAGTTTTGAAAAAAACATTTGCCGTGGTGAACGGTGATTTAAAATAATGTGCTCGCAGATGATGGACTAAACACTGTTATTAACCTGCTTCTATTTTTGTCAACTGTGATAATATAAAGTTCACAGGTTACCAATCTGAAATCCATCAATTTTTTTTATTGTAAGCAAGATCATTATGACATTAAACCAAATCTTCTGGTATCTGGATAACTGGAGGTTGGACAAAAGTTACAGGATGTACATCAGGACTCTATGGACGTCCTGATGCAGAAACCTGCATGTAGATTGCCCAGAAAATTTAAATTTAGATGGCCTATTTGTGCTGCCTGGGAACCTCCTCAAAGGTTTCCAACACTGAGGTAAATGTCAAATTCTTGGCCAGAATGGCAGGAATTACCGGCAGACTCACCCTGGAAATGCTGATGCTTGTCAACACCCAGTCAATGATTCAGTAATTGTTCAGCATTACTAAACAGAGTATTATCACTAGTCAGTCTTTTCTTGCACATAATGGCCTTGCCCCTGAATCACTGCAGTGATTTTTCAATGCTTAAACTAGGATTGAAATCCCTGGCAGAAAAATCACAGAAGAGTCAGTCACAGAAATCTTCACAGACAGCATCAATGCGCAGAGCATCAATGCTGAGTGGAAGATCTGGACCTTTGTTTTGCTGGCACATTGTTCTGGTTTCTTACAGACTGGGATTCTTATACATAGAACATCATAGATTCCCCACAGTGTGGAAACAGGCCATTCAGCCCATCAAGTCCATATAGACCTTCTGAACAGCATCCCACCCAGACGCCTCCCCATTCCACACCCTAATCCCTGCATTTGCAATAGCTAACATATCCAACCTACGCATCCCTGGACACTATGGACAATTTAGCATGGTCAATCCACCTAACCTGCACACCTTTGGACTGTGGGAGGAAACTGGGGCACCTGGCAGAAACCTATGAAGACACAGGGAGGATGTGCAAACTCCACACGGACAGTCACCTGAGGCTGGAATCGAACCCAGGTCCCTGACACGGTGAGGTGGTAGTGCTAACCACTGAGCCACCACGCCACTCCAAACTGGTTCACAGAATATTTTACATTATAGTTATACAGGTTAATTTAAACAGGTATTTATATCATTATATGACATTGGAAAATAGCACAGTTTCAATTTGCACTCAGGTTGGGGTCTGCAACCAAAGCGGAAACTCTATCCCCAGGATGGATAGACAGAGATCTAGATTCAACTAGTATTTCAAGGGTGTTTGTTGTGTCACATTTGAGGTATGCTGCTCCTTTTATTTATTTTCGACTTATTTATTTGGTACTCACTTTGTAGAGTATGGAGTCACATACACAAAATATATCAATGATGACAGGATTCTCCAGCAGTGGAAGAAGATGGTCAGGCATCCCTTGCCAAAAATGTAATAAAAAGTTCTGAATCTGAAAACCAAGTCCAAAGCAATACATTTATTCACAAACAAAAACAGAAATTGCTAAAAAAAAAAATCTCAACAAGTTTGGCAGCATCTGTGAACAGAAAATAGAGTTAATGTTTTGGTTCTAGTGACCCTCCTTCAGAACTGATGGTGGCTAGGAAAAGGTTTGTGTTTAAGCACAAGATGCCCAAGCAGCGGAATAAATGATAGGTGGAAATGGAGCCCGAAGAGAGAGAAAAACATTTGGTTAGACAAAGGACTGGGTAAAGTTCAGCCTGGGAGTATGAATAGCTGCTAATGGGGACTATTTATTTGATAAATAGACTATAATAAATCCATTTATTTTACCTTTTGGATTTAAGCTGCTTCAGGCATGCACAACAAAAGTCAGTCAACAAAAAGTTTCTGCGACCTCACCTCTTCAAAGTTTCCATTGATTGCATTATCCAGGATGCATTGGCAATGGGTTTTGTACATCATAATTAGTGTATCTACCTGTGTTGGAATAAAGTACTATGAATTACATTAGGATATCAGTTGAATCCTTGCTGTAACAATTTACACTTATTCAATGCTTAAATTCTCTGTTTAGAGGTTTGATGGGGCAAAGCACACCTAACGATCGGTGACTAATGATCAGCCATTTGCAGAACTTTCTGGCATTTCAGATGTGCTTCCAACCACCTCCACAAAACCAATGTTGTCGCACGCAGAAGTGGAGGCATCTCATATTTCAGACTATAGAGATCTTCCGCCAATGTCTGACACTCATCAAATTCATGGAAAAATCATTTTGAACTCTTAGACTGAAGGGTCAAAATGTAGAATTAGTTGGAGTGAATTTAAGAAACAGCAAGGGACAGCAAACATTGATGGGACTTGTTTACAAGTCACCAAACCAGAGGGGTAACATTGGGCATCTTACACATCAGTAAATTAGAGATGCAGGTAGTATGAGTAGATAGTGGCAAATCCAACGAACAAGTAGATTGGGTAAACCAAATCAGCACTAATGCTGTGGAGGATGAATTCCTGGGATCTGCACAAAATTGCCATCCAGAATAATATGTTCAGAAACCAACTAGGAATTAGGCTATTTTGGATCTGCTGTTCTTTAATGAGAAAATGCTAATTCATAACTTTGCTTTTGAGGAGCCTTTGGGAAATTATGGTTGTGATATCATAGAATTTTGCATTATATTTGTACATAATCTACATTTCATTCTTGTTATCTGCTGATTCACTACTTGCCAATTCACATACTCACAAGCTCAGCTCCATACTTCATGTTTTACTTTCTCATTGACTTGTCCAGTCTGATCACAAAACCATAAGAAACCGGGACAGGATAGGCCATTCAGCTCCTTGGGCCTGCTCTGTTATTCAACAGGATCCTGGCTGATCCAACATTCCTCATGTCCACTTTCTTGCCCTTTCCTTGTATCCTTTGATTCCACTACTGATCAAGAATCTACTTATTTCAGCCTTACATATACCCAAGAACTCTGCCCCCACAGCTCTCGGTTACAAGGAGTTCCAAAGACTCTCAATGCACTGACAGAAGAAATTCCTCCTCATCTCAGTCTTAAGTTAGCACTCTTTTATTCTGAGACTAGGCCTTCTGGTCCTGGACTCTCCCATAAAGGGAAGCACCTTCTTGATAATTACCCTGTTAAGCCCTTTAAGAATCCTATACATTTCAATGAGATCACCTTCCCTTCCTCTAAATATGTCTGCTCACATGGTCTTTTGTGGTACGTGGCCAAGTTAAATTATAGCAGTATCTGCACCTTTTGTTATCTGTGGGGAGTCTGTGCTCCTATCTGCCACAGATAACAAAGTCGAGATGTAGTTTATTCTGAATCTCGGGCCTCGAAGCTGGAGAAAGGAAATTATGAAAGTATACGGGGCAAGTTGGTTATGGGGATTGGAAAAATACGCTACAGAATTAGACTGTAGACAGGCAATGGCCAGTGTTTAAAGAAATACTGCACAGTTTATAGCCTTTTGACATTTATCTAAATAAGGAACAAATGCAAAAATAAAAGGTAAACTTACTGTAAGAAGTTAAATATTGCATTTGATTAAAGGAAGTGGGCTACAAGATGTTAGAAAAAATGGTATGCTTAAGAATGGACAGCAACCTGAAACCCAACAAATATAAGGACCACAAACTGATTAGGAAAGGGAAAAGAAAATATAAAATCAAATTAGTGGGGAACATAGTGGTGCAGGGCAGGTGGAGAGTGCAATTAATAAAGCGAAGTTTTCTTGGCTTTATTAATAGGGCCATAGCAGACAAGAGCAGGGAGGTGGTGTTGAACCTGTACAAGAAACTTGTTAGATTTCAGCTGCTGTATTATTGGAAAGATGCGAAAGCTTTGGAAAGGGTGCAGCAGCAATTTATAAGAATTTTTCCAGAAATAAGAAACTTCAGTTATGAGGATAGATAGAAGAGTTTTCCATGGGGAGAAGGAGGCTGATATGAGATTTGATAAGAGGCTTTCAAAATCATGGGCGGGCTGGATGGATAGAAAGGGAGAAGGTGTTCCTGCTTGTAAAAGCAAAAAGAACAATAGGGCATAGATTTAAGGTGATGTGTAAATGAAGCAAATGTTAAGAGAGAAAAAAGCTTTTTCATACAGCGGGTGGTTAGGGTATGGATTGAAGTGCCTAGAAATATGGTGGAGGCAGGTTGAATTGAGGCTTTCAAGGGGGGCATTGGATGAATATTTAGATAGAAATGGTGTGTAGGATAGAGGAAAAAAGCAGGAGACTGATGCAGGATAACAGAACTGGTGTAAACCTGATTCGCTGAATGGCCTCCTTCTGCACAGCAACAAATTTGTGATTAAAGGTAGATTGTAAAAGCTCCTTAGGTATTAGATTAGCCAGGATAAATATGGATCCACATATTTTGAATACAGATATTTCCCCGGATGTTGAGTCTAAAACCAGGGAATGTAATCTAAGCACAAACGGTAGGCAATTTAATATTGAGATGAGCCCAGAATTTGTTCACTGAGAGGGTGGTGAATCCTTGGAATTTACTACTTCAGAGGCACGTGGAAACTCAATCATCGAACATGTTCAAGACGAAAATGGATAAATTACAGAAGACTAATGACATGAAGGGATATGAAGAGAGTGACATTGAGGCACACAATTTGTTATGATCTAATTGAATTGTAGGGCCGGCTCAATGGGCTGAATGGCCTGCTGCTATTCTTACGCAATTAGTGCTTTTAAAAAAATGTAATTTGTGGTGAAGAGAGGACACCTGCTGTCTTTCTTAGGCCATTGCCTAAGTTGGTAACGGTGGGAATGCTGGTGTAAATAGAGTAATAAATGATCTAATGTCTTTTTCAAACCACAGCCATCCAATTGTGTTGGGTGCAGGCAATTAAAATTGGTGCTATTAAGTGAGCAAACAATGAGACTCTTCTCTACGAGCATTTTACTAGCATTCCGGCTGTTATCAATCACCATTTAATATGACCCCAAGTTTGAAAGCTCAAGTGAACAGTAAAACTTTCTATTTGTGCAAGATAAAATGGATTAGATTTTCAACTGACTGGTCATTTAGCTGATGTTGTGGATTTTGCATTGTAGAAATGGTCAGAATTTAATTTCTATTGACAAATTTAAAACATAACACAGTATTTTTTAGGATCGAGTACTTGGAATTTATTTTCTGCATCCTCAAACATGATAAGGAACCTGGTTTGCTAGTAAAGTGCAAGGGATTCTCTCTGCTTTTCCACTACCTGCTCAGGCATTCACTCCATCACATTAAGACCAATTTATACCCCCCACCAACTTTCCTCGGATGAATCCTACTCCTGTTGGAGCAATGAGGCAAGCAAATCAGCCTGATAAGATTACTAAGTATTCTACTGTTCAAATTAGAACTAGGTTCCATAATAATTGAACAAGAACTGAGAGGAAAGCAAATAAAGACTGCAATCAATATTTGATTCAATCTATTTGCCTGCGATCACCCACTTCCATACCAATTCAACTTTATCACACAGAGATATAAATAAACACAGGCATCCCAGCGAGTCACGTACATTCAATAAACTCTCAGCATGGCAAGGTATGAGTTTTTAATCTTTTATGGTTATTACCGGGACATGCCCGTTAACAGACAAATGAAAACTCAAACCTGCAAAGTCTTAAAAAATACTTGAAATAAGTAGTAAATCAGCATCTGGGACGAGGAGACAGATCAATGATTTTGACCTAGGCCTTTCTCATTATTCAGAAATGAAAGATAAAGAAGTATGTTAAATGAATTGCGGGTAAAAAAGGGAAAGGAGAAGCAAGAAAATATTTCAAGGAAGAAATACAATGTCACTTGAAATAATGTGCAACCTGTGAATAGAGAAAGGAACAAATTCTTTGAATTCAATGGTCCTAGACAAAAGAAAGAGAATTTTTCTGAAGACATTAAAGATCTAAAAGTGTGAATTGCTAAGGCAATGGAAAATTCATTGGAAATGGAAATCCATGGAAATAGGTGAGGAAAAGTGAGGAATTGTAGATGGTAGAAACCTTCAGATTAGACAAGAAATTGGATCAGAAATTAAAGAAAGAGTGTGTGTGAGAGTGTGTGGGGGGGGTGTGGTGTGTGCATGCATGTGTGAGTGCATGTGAGTGTGTGTATGTGTGTGTGTGTGTGTGTGTGTGTGAGAGAATGTGTGTGTGTGTGAGCGTGTGTGTGTGAGTGAGTGAGTGTGGGGGTGGGTAGTGTGTGCATGCACGTGTGTGAGTGAGAGAGAGAGAGAGTGTGGGGGGTGTGGTGGTATGTGCACATAGTGTGGTGGGTGTGAACAGTACCTTGACTGGATTGCCCAACCTGTGGCCAGAGGATGTATTCACAACCCATTTAAGGACAGTAGACAGGTTCTTAGAGTTGGAGGGCAAATAGGAAGTATTTTTAGTGATGAAGAAATGGAGCCTGCTATTGTCAGATGCCTATTCAGAATGTTAAAAATATTTGAAACTAACAATAGTTGTGGCTGCTGGACTGATATGATGGAGGAGATACTATTCTGCAATATGGGCAATGGCTGTGGTTGTATCCAGATAGGTATATGGCAGCTTCAGGAGGGGAGGAAGTGTAATCAATGTAATCCTGGGACGCTAGCCCCAAACTAATACAGAAAATATTAAAGGAGGTTGTGATGGTGTAATTATGAGATTTGTTTTTAAAGAGAAGCGTGAACATACTTTTGGATAGTTTTGATTTATTTGACATAGTGTATTTCCAGTGTACAAGCTTATTATATTTCTGACGTTCAAATCAAAAGAAAATTCCCCTTGCATTATTACAGACATATAGAAAGTAGTTGGGCTGGAGTTTATGCTTTTTGCATGAAGTGTGAAAGTGGGTGTCCTCAGTGGTAACTGACCCTCTGCCCTCACCATTAACAAAGCCCGCTGTGTCAAGTACCGGTTAGATACTCAGGAAATTGTAGCTAATGAAGTGCCACCGGACCTGAAGCTGCCAGTCAATCAGAGCCCAGCAGCCACTGGCATCTGGACAGCATTGCTGGTGATGCCTGCAATGCAGTCAGGAAGGGTGGCAGCAGCAAGAAGGTGACTGGGTTATTTGGGATGGGATCATAAAATTATGTCGTCACAAAGGTCTACAGCACAGCAAAAGGCCCTTCCGCCTATCAAGTTTGTATTGGTCAAAAGCAATCACTTAACTTGTGGTGGCATGGTGGGTCAATAGTTAGCACTACTACCTCACAGTGCTAGGGACCGGGGTTCAGTTCCAGCCGGAGGGGACTGTCTGTGTGGATCTTGCCAATTCTATCCGTGTCTGCATGTGTTTCTGCTGGGTGCTCTGGTCTCCTCCCACAGTCCAAAGATGTGCAAGTTAGGTGGATTGGCCACCCTTACAGGCGGTGAGTTCCAGATTCCCACCACCTTATGAGTGTATTTTTTCCCTCACATCTCCTCTAAGCTACTTGCCCCTTACCTTAAATCTATGCCCTCTGGTCATTGGTCCCTTCAAAAAGGGGAAAATTTTCTTCATGTCTACCCTGTTGTACCTGTCATAATTTTATACATTTCACTCATGTCTCCTTCACTTTCCTCTGCTCCAAGGAAAACCACTCCAGTCTATCCAAACATTCTTCATAACTAAAACTCTCCACCCCAGGCAACTTCCTGGTAAATCTCCTGTGCACCCTCTCCACTGCAATCCTATCTTTCCTACAATGTGGTTTCTAGAGCTGCACACAATGCTCTAGTTGTGACCTAACCAACATTTTGTACCAGCATAACCTCCATGCCCTTCAACTCTCAGTCTCAACTAATAAATATCCCATATGCCTTGTTAACCATTGATTTACCTGTCCCACGATCTTAACCAACAAGTGGAGATCCACACCAAGGTTCCAGTGATCCTTGGTGCTTCCCAGGGTCCTACCATTCATCATGTATTCCCTTGCATTTGTTTGAATTTCTTATCTGGTTGAATTCCATTTGCCATTGATCAGCCTGTCTATATCCTCCCATAATCTAAGATTGTCCTTTTCACTATTTACCACACCACCAATTTTCGTATCATCTTCAGGCATCATCACGGTACGGGGTTTGCAAGGACTGAGGGGTCAGGGTGTTGAAGGCAATTGCCTGGTTGTAGCATTCATTAGTCAATCCCTGTTCCTCAATAAAGCCTCCGACAATCCCCAGATTGGAGCAAATGGAGGTCCCACAACAAACTGACAGGCAGGCCAGTGGTGCATTTTACCCATACGTGGCCGTCAAATGACCACTTAAGGACCTTGATTGGTGGCAGGTCAAGAGGTCATGCATGGATGTTGCCATGGAACTTGATTGCTGAAGTGGTGAGAAGTGGCCAGGCATCTCACCCGTGCCAAGATGCACCACTTTTTTTCCGTCCTATTACTTGCCCCACCATATCCAGGGAGTGAAAAATCCCACCAATTAAGTCAATATAAAGGGTAAGTCATTGTCCTTTAAAATAACTGCAGAATGAAGGGCAACTAGGAATGGGCAATAAATGCTGACACAGTTAATGAAGTCCAAATCCCATGGATGAATAACAAAATACTGATAACGGTATGAATACAAATAATTTGAATATGTTAAGCATTTATTGACTATTCATAGATAATAGGATCATAGAGCATGACAGCACAGAAAAAGGCCCCTTGGCCCGTTGACCACCTAGCTATTCTAATCCTGTTTTCCAGCACATGGCCATAGCCCATATTCTTGGGCATCGCAAGTGTACATCCAAATACAGATTAAATATAATGAGGGTTTCTGCCTCCACCACCTTTACAGGTAGTGAGTGCTAAACTTTTACCACCCTCTGGGTGAAAGACTATTTCATCCACTCTGAACCATCTGCTCTTTACCTTAAATCTATCATTACAAAGAATAATTTATTATCTGTTTTCTTCTTGACTTAAACTAAGAGATTATTAATTTCCATTGAATAATCAATGGTCATATTTTCCCCTGGACATTGACTAATCAACCCACAAGTATAGCAGCTCGGGTTACAGAACATAACTAGGTACACACTAAAGCATATCAACAGCCTACACTGCATCACAGCAGCACACTGTGCTTAGTCCCTAAATGTGAAACTTTCAATGTAATTTGTTTAAATTAAGTAAAGCTCAAGCTCTATTCTTCTTCATCTCCAAATGCACTAGTGAAGTGAGGGGAATACTCATGAAGGGCAATTAATACAGTCAGACTAGGGAGCATTGCCTTTGTCTCAAAAATTGGCTGATATTATTTTAAAGAAGTAAGTCTTCTCATTAAAAATATGCTTTTAGGAAAGTTAGACATTTGTAAATATTGCATATAGCAGCTTATGTGTTGTATGCAACCCTTTAGGGATGAGCACTGAATATATTCTTGCAGAACTTTCTCAGTTAATGAGCAGCTAACCGAGAAAAGCTTAATCAGGCTTCTGTGTTGCTTCCCTACACTACAAAGTATCATTATAGGTTGTCAGTGTAAACCATGACAAAACATAACTAATTTTTCTAATGACCTGCTGTGGGAGTGGCTTCTGGCACAATGCCATTCTCTTTCCTCTTCTCCCACTGATGCTTCTTTCTGGTATCTTATTTCTATCCTTCCTTCACCTGTCCCAGAGGTAGATCAATTAATCCATGCAAAAGTAGAATAAACTGTTTAGAAAGCACACAGAAACAGCACAAAGCTGTTCAGAGGATTCTGAATTAACTGGCAAAAAACAGATAACAGAAATCCCAAAACTTCACCAACAATCCAGAACGAAAGAATCAGCAATTAACCAGAATGGAGGGGATGAGACCTTTAAACAGTGCTTCTGTTGAGACTTTGCCAAGGATTGATACTATAAGTTTCCGATCATGTTTATCAGATGACAGTCAGATGAAGCCCTTTTTATTTGACAGCCAGTACCATATTTAAATACTACAATAAGATTTCAGAATCATTTTGGATGTAAGCAAAACCAGTAAAACGTGTGAATCACGCATATCAGGCTGACGTGTCTTGTATTACTCTAAAGGAGTTCCAGTGCATCCAACACATTCATTTCCAATTATTTCTGGATTTGAAAAATGGGTGAGGCTTTAAATAAATTTCTAGGCATATCGGTGTTTAATTTTTATAAAGTGGAAGAGCACTTACTTTCATCCATTACCATAAAGCCAAAGCCACCCTGTTCTGATATTCAATACTGCCACTTTCCCCAAACTTAGATGCTTTTTAACTTGAACAAAATATAGCTTAATTTCGAGGTTGCTCATGATAATAACTCTTTAATATCCAATACTTATTTGTGAGATCAGTTTAATTAATACCTTCTTTTAAAGAGTATTACCTTTTCCTTTGAGATGGGCCCTTGAAGAAGAAGATGCTGTGCATTGGGGAACTCTGGGAGCAACGTTCCAGTTTTTGAGCTGAGCGAATATTTCCGTGTGAAGCCTCCCTATAACAGGTCAAAATGTTATATTAGTTATGTGCCAAATATACAATCCATTAATCCATTATAAAGCATTTATTATTGCTACCAGTTAAAGATGAATGTTTAACTATTCAAAAATAGAGGTAATACTGTTGAAAACATACAGTTATAGTTTGCTTTTAGTCTGCATTGATTCAGCTAGTGATTTGATACACAACTGAATTAGCCTTGAAGTTTTAGACTGTAATCTATAATTGTTATCCCATTAATCATATTTGTTTACAAGCTTCTTATTTTATGTAATGCAAATATCATGGTCAGATTGAAATATACAACTCGTCTAGGTTTTAATATGTTCCCGCTCTGGTTACTATGAATACAGTGCAACTGGATTTAAAGCTTGATAAAGTGAGTCGCATTAAGTCAGTTTGTTAGTGAACAGCTAGTATTAATAAAATTTGGATCAAATTACAGGTTGTGCAAAATGAACATTTATTGTCACTTTTCTGATCTATGTATTTAAATATTTTAAAATCCCTTTTACGTGTGGGAATGCTTATTTCTAATGACCATTTAACGTATTGGAATGTTTGCAATATTATCTCCTTAATAAGCCACAAAGATTTTAATAATTAACAGATTTGTTCAGAAAATAAAATTACTGGCATTTTAATGTAGGTTATTTTCAACAAGAGATCTGATTCTGAAAAGGCTAATATGTTGCATAATATGTCAAAATCTTTATTTCTTTGTTCAATGCTGTGAACAGATTCTGTAGTTTGAATATCAACAAGTTTTAATTGATGTTGTGCACTTTGTATATTGAGATAGCATAAGTTTTTTGTTTGGTTTTAATTTCAAATAGTTTGGCAATGTATGAGCACACTCAAATAATTCATTTGAGAATTCATAAGGTTGCAAAATGAAGAAACAACCAAGGGAGAAATTTTAAAATCAATGGGTAAACTGTCTGTCAGCTTCAATGGACATAAAAGATCATGTAACATGGTTCAAAAATGACCAGTAAGTGGCAGATGGAATAAAATGTGGGAAAGTGTGAGATTCTGCACTTCAGTAGAAGAACACAGGCATAGACTATTTTCTAAATGGGCGAAGACTTTGGAAATGTGACGCACGAAGGAACTTAGGAGTTGTAGTTCAAGATTCTCTTAAGGTTAACATGCAGGTTCATTTGTCAGTTAGGAAGGCAAATGCAATGTTAGCATTCATTTCAACAGGGCTAGAACACAAGAACAGAAATGTACTGCTGAGGCTGTAAAAGGCTTTGGTCACAACGCATTTGGAATATTGAGAGCAGTTTTGGGCTCCATATCTAAGTAAGGATGTGTTGGCATTGGAGGGTGTCCAACGGAGGCTTACAAGAATGATCCTTGGGATGAAGAGCTTGTCATATGAGGAGTGGTTAAGGACTCTGAGTCTGTAGTTGATGGGGTTCGGAAGGATGAGAAGTCTGGACAGAGTGTATATGGAGAAGATGTTTTCACTAGTAGGAGAGATTAGGACCCAAGGGTACAGCCTCAGAGTGAAGGGATGACTCTTTAGAACTGACATGAGGATAAATTTCTTCAGCTACAGGGTGGTGAATCTGTGGAACTCATTACTGCAGCAGGCCTCGGAGGCTACATCATTGAATGTCTTTAAGATGGAGATAGATTGGTTCTTGATTGGCAAGGGGATCAAGGGTTACAGGGAGAAGGCAGGAGAATGGGATTGAGAAGTGTATCCTCCATGATCAAATGGTGGAGCAGACTTGATGGCCTAGAATGGCCTATTTCTGCTCCTATGTCTTATGGTCTTAGGGACCAGAATACTGGCAAACACTATTCCTTCAACTAATATGGATCATTTAACTAACCTTTCATCTCACAATAGTTTCTGGAATCTGACAACAATGTGAAGTGCTTTGGAGCATCTTGAGAGATATGGTAGGGCACAATAAAAATATGATTTGTCCTCACCAAAACTGACATCTCTTTCTAAAAATACTTTCCCATTGTTGCTAGAAAGAAAAACACTGCAAAACGTAGTGCTGTGTTTACAATGTTCCTAACACAGGATAAACCATAGCTACATCCGAAAGATACACAAGAAATATCCCAAATTGTCAATAGGAGGATAAAGGAAATGGGTAACATAAGGAGCATGGTTCTTCTCAGAGTAAATGCATCAGTAAAAACAGATAGTTTAGAATGTATGAATAACTACACTGGAAACCAAAATACTAGTAAGCTAGGAGCAAAAAAAAATAGAGAAGGGAAAAGCTGAAAGCTTTATACAATCAAAACAAACTAGAAGTGTATATAAATCTTATCAATTTGTGTTTCCAGATATAGTATAGATAACATATATAAGCCACTAAATCAATGTGCTTTTCTTGTAAAACAGTTTTTCTGTCTAAATATTCCTGTTTGGAAGTAATTCCAGCAGAATATTTGGAGGTTTTATCAGTTTCCGGCCCCAGTCACTAATCCTGGTGAATTTATTTGGATCAACTAGTCCGAGTGGTGTGTGTGGCAATTTGGAAAATGCTGCCGCTACATTTCTGGACCAGCTGCCTCCAAGGTAGACAGAACAAGTGTTCACTTTATTTTTGATTAGTTTAAATTTGTCATGTTGCCAGAGTACAATCCATTAATCAGCAATTAATTGCACTCAGGTTTTTTTCCTCTCTTTTTTAATTCCTATAAACGGGCTGTTACACACAACTGACTTTTTTTTCCATCACCAAATCACCTGTGGTATTTTTATTTTCCATCTATTAACCATCACCAGTAAATCACCCATGTTTTACAGTTGATTAATTTATATACACAGCCTGTTAAGAGTAAGGGAGAGAGAGGGAGAAGGGAAGGGACTATTGCACCCAGTTTGTATTTGGAAAATGTTCAGTCTAGTTAAGATGATAGTCACAAGACCAGAAGGATAGGTACAGGAGAAGACTGTTTTGTCCTTGAGCTTGCTCTGCCATTCAATAAGATTGTAGCTGATTTTGGAATTAACTTCACCTCTTGCCTGATCCCAGTAACACCTGACTTCCTTGTGGATCAAAACCCTGTCTAACTCAGCCTTGAATAAATTCAATGACCCATCCTTCACTGCTATATGGAGAAGAGAATTTCAACAATTAAATGCTCACATCTCCATTGAATGTTGCGCTGGTTTTAGATTCCCTCACAAGAGAAAACATCCTCACAGCATCTACCTTGTCAAACTCCCTTGGAATTTTATATGTACTTAAGTAAGATCACCTCTCATTCTTCCAAACTTCAATAAGTATAGGTCCAACCTACGCAAACTTTCTTCATAAAACAATCGCTTCATTCTGGGAATCAGCTTAGTGATCTTTGCAGACTCCAGTACATATATATCCCTTATTAAGTACGGAGTCAAATATTGCACACAGAACTCTAGGTGCAGTCTGACTAATGCCCTGCAAAAACAACACTTCACTATTTTTAACTCCATCTCCCTGTGGTAGAGGACAGCATTCTATTTGCCTTCCTAGTTACTTGTACATGCACACTATCCTTTTATGATTCTTGTACAGGAACAGCCAGATCCCTCTGTGCTACACATTCTGTACCCTCTTTGTTTTTTTTTAATTCATTCATGAGATGTGGGTGTCACCAGTCAGGACAGCATTTATTCCCTATCTCTAATTTAAATAATAGCTTGTTTTTCTATTCTTCCCACCATGATGGAGAACCTCATATGTTCCACATTATACCCATCTACCAAATGTCCAACACTCACTTATCTGTAAGGCCATAAGACATAGAAGCAGAACTAATCCACTAATTCATAAAAAATGATCCATTAATCCATAAAAAAATGATCTATTAATCCCAACTCTGTTTCCTGTTAGTTAACTAATTCTGTGTAACTCTAAATGCTCCCTTCAACAGTCTGAGTTCTTTTTTTGTGTGGTAAACCTTTTATTTGGCACCTTATCAAATGCATTTTGGGAATACAAATACACCATATCTACTGGTTCCTCTTTATTCACCCTGCCTCCAACATCCTCGAAGAACTTTACAAGCATTACATATGATTTTCCTTTCATAAAATCATGTTATTTCTGCCTGATTATATTATGAGTGTCCTGCTACCACTTTCTTTAAATGGACGCTATCATTTTCACAGACGTCAAGCTAACAGAGCTGTAGTTTCCCATTTTCAGTTTCCCTTTCTTGAATAGAGGTGCTGTATTTAGTGTTTCCTCATCTGAAGGGACATTTCCAGAATCTAGGGAATTTTGGAAAACTACAACTGATCCATTCTCTATTGTAATGGTTTTCACACTGGTGTGCCATGACAAGGTGAGAAATGTGCTGCAAAATTTTTGGGAAGCAGCACTGTTTTATCTGTTGTCACCAGGCACCCCTATAGGGGGGATGGGGAAAACAGCTCCCAGCATTTGATTTGTGCATGACACTGTCACTCAACGTGTGGGGCCAGTGACTTGGTCACCTTTGGCCTTTGCCCCTTTTGCTGAGCCAGTCTGATTGTGTGCCACTTTTCCTGCAGATTGTCAGGGCTGGGCCATGGCGGAGCGAAGCAGAGAACATGGTGAGTGCAGGAGCTGCTGCACACAGGCCGCTGTGGGGTGGTCCAGCTCACCACCTCACCCAAGCCTTGCTCAGTTTTGGGGGTTGAAGGGGAGGGGGTGCAGCGGCTGCCACTGTGGACAAGGCACCTTCTCAGTAACGGGCAGCATGGCAATCTCTCCAAGATGGCAGCTGGATGATGGATGGAGGGCAGGGAGTGGAGAGATAGCAGGGGAGCCTCACTGACCACTGTTTGCCTCAATTCCCTCAATGACATAGTAAATGTACATGAAATGATTGCTCATAAACAACACATTTAACAGAAAAAAAAAGTAGGTGTGCCATGCAATTGTTTGTCACATTAAAGTGCCCCTTTGATATGGAAGAAGTGGGGAATCACTGCACTATTAGTGCAGCTAATCCATTTAAGACCCAAGGATGCAGGCCATCGGATTG